CTGATGATAGGTGCATGTGTGGCACGTGCTCTCTGGAGAACTTTCGGATTACTAGGGGAAAGAAGACATAGTCCAATCAAGAGAGGAGAAGGAAAGAAAGAAGAAAAAAAAACAACGGAAAGTGGTCTAACGGAGGTGAACAGGAAGTTCACTAACAAACACGTCAACATTGCATGCCAACTAGGACCCCCCCATAGTATTTAGGTTTTTGGGTGAACACTAAACGCCTTGCATGTGCCAAGTTCAATGTTTCACAGGAACACTCATTGGCACCCTGATCAGACCAGATCAATCAAACCGACTCCACCTGACTTCTGCCCATGCCCTCGGGAATCCTTCAGCTCCTCCACCTCCACCTTAAACTCCTCCCTCATTTCCCTCACTTCCTCACTCCCTCAATCTCCCACTCCCTCACTCTCTAGATTTCTCATTCCTTCACTCCCTCAATCACTCCTAATCGCCCGCTCATATCGAAGCCCTCCCCACGACAAAAATCACCCTGCCCGCCCTCAGCTCGGCCACGTTCTACTCCTTGCTCCCTCACTTCCTCACTCTCTCACTCCCTCATATCCGAGCTCTCCCCCAGACACCACTCAACCCCCCTCCCCCCCCCCTCCCCTCCCCCCCCCCCCCAAGCTTGTGCGCCTGGCCTCGGAAGCCCCTCAGCTCCCCGCTTTGAACTCTCATATCCTTTTTTCGCTCACTCCTTCACTCGAATTTCCTCTCTCCCTCCTTCAAGCCCTCTCCCTCCTTCAAGCCCTCTCCCTCCTTCAAGCCCTCTCCCTCCTTCAAGCCCTCTCCCTCCTTCAAGCCCTCTCCCTCCTTCAAGCCCTCTCCCTCCTTCAAGCCCTCTCCCTCCTTCAAGCCCTCTCCCTCCTTCAAGCCCTCTCCCTCTGTCAAGCCCTCTCCCTCCTTCAAGCCCTCTCCCTCCTTCAAGCCCTCTCCCTCCTTCAAGCCCTCTCCCTCCTTCAAGCCCTCTCCCTCCTTCAAGCCCTCTCCCTCCTTCAAGCCCTCTCCCTCCTTCAAGCCCTCTCCCTCCTTCAAGCCCTCTCCCTCCTTCAAGCCCTCTCCCTCCTTCAAGCCCTCTCCCCCAGACACCACTCACCCCGCCTGCCTTATGCTCCTGCCCGCGGAAGTCTCTCAGCTCCTCCGCCTTGAACTCCCTGCTCATGTCCAGCATCTTGTTCAGGTTGTCCACCTCCATGTACTGCCGCTGCAGGGCGATCTGTGCGCGTGTGTGCAATAGGGGAAGGGCGGAGTGCAGCAATGTGAGCGGCAGGGGAACTCCTTGCTCGTGTGCAGCCAGCAAGCATCTTGTTGAGCTTGTCCACCTCCATGTACTGCCGCTGCAGGGCGATCTGTTGAATAGACAGTGACAGTGTAGGAGGGTGCAGTGAGGACGGGGGAGAGAAGGGGAAAGCCCTTCAGCTCATGTCCAGCATCTAAAAAGGTTGTCCACCTCCATGTACTGCCGCTGCAGGGCGATATGTGATAGGAGGAGAATCAGTGAGTGCATGTGCGTGGGGATGGGGTGGAGAGGAGAGGAAAGGGGACGGACAGAAGGGAGGAGGGGCAAGTCCCTCAGTATCTCAGCTGCTCGGCTTTGAACTCCTTGCTCATGTCCAGCATCGTGGTGGGGAGAGGGGTGAGCGGAGGAATGGAGGTCCCTCAGCCCCTCATGTGCAGCCTCTTGTTGAGATTGTCCACCTCCATGTACTGCCGCTGCAGGGCGATCGGTTGACAAAGTAGGAGGGTGCAGTGAAGAAGGGGGAGAAAAGCGGAAAGCCCTTCAGCTCATGTGCAGCCTCTTGTTGAGATTCACTGTCCACCTCCATGTACTGCCACTGTAAAGCGATCTGCAGGTGCGTGCAATGGGAAAAGGGAGGAGTGCAGCAATGTGGGCGACAGGGGAACTCTTTACTCATGTCCAGCATTTAATTGAGATACAACAATCACCCCATGCTACAATCACCTCATGCTACAATCACCTCATGCTATCACCTCATGCTATCACCCCATGCTACAATCACCTCATGCTACCATCACCTCATCCTACAATCACATATTCCCATCCCTTCCCCCCCTTTGTTCTCACAACACAGGCTGCACGCTGCACACTCGCATCCAGGTCTTTCAGCAGCCTCAACGCCTTCAGCAGTTCCCTGTCCTTCTCATGCCTCAGGTTGCCATCGTCCCCTTCCTCTTCCCCCCACCCACCCACCCACCCACTCACTCACACGCGCATGCATGCATGCACGCACACATGATCCGCACATCACAGCGCACGCACATCCAGGTCTTTGAGCAGCCTCGACAAGCTCCTTGGCCTTCTCATGCCACAGGTTCCGCTCCCCTCCCCCCTCCCCAACCCTTCCCCCTTTTAATCTCACGGCACATGACCCGCACAGCGCACGCACATCCAGGTCTTTGAGCAGCCTCGACGCCTTCAGCAGCTCCTTGTCCTTCTCGTGGCACAGGTTCCGGATGTCGTCGGTCGTCAGATCGGGATCGTCAGGATCAACGGCCAGGAGCGACCGGCCGCGCCGAGGGCTGCTGACGTCAGCATGCGCTGGCAGGGGGTCCACCTCGGTGGCAGCAGACACACTGACGAGGTCAGCATCTTCCTTAGGGTCGGCACCGTCGCCGCTGCTGACAGCGGATGGGTCGCTGACGTCAGCATTCCCAATGCTGCTGCTGCCCTTTTCACGCTCCAAGGCTGCCTGATGTTCTGTGGATGGAGAATTGGGAAGAACGGACAGAATTATTAAAGAAATACTATTCGTTGCAGCTCGTTTGGCTTCATGTAAGGATACAAAACTGTTCGATTGGCTTGCGACTTTTGCGGCAGGCAGCCCAACTCAGAATCACAGAAAGACAGTAATCTTGGAACTGTTGAAGCGGCATGAATGAAAGGGCAAAGCTACGAAGGGAAAGAGTACAACAAACAAGCGGAAACTCCAGCACCTCATGTGCGCATCGCCTTCACCAAGTGTTTGGCTCAATATACATTAAGGTGTGCGTCTGGGACCAGTTGTGGTGTACCCCTCACGTCGGTACAGTATACATTACAGCTCACCTCGGTACAAAGCTCGTAGTGTCAGCAGCTCCTGAGAGGAACAAACGTCACAGTCGCTGCTACGGCCGCTTGAAGACGTGAGTCTGGAAGGAGAGGACAGGACGCGGGTTGGAGAGAGAAACGGGCGTGGACGCATGTGGCATGCATGAGGGAGAAAGGGAGGGTTGGTAATGGAACCAAATCAAATCAGCCCATTGCACGCCGCCGCTGCTGCTGCTGCTACTTGAAGACGTGAGTCTGGAAAGGGCAGGACGCGGGTTTGGGAGAAACAATGGGCAGGCGAGAATGCATGCATGCGGGAGGGAGAAAGGGTGGGAGAATGGGAGGGAGGGAGAGAAGGACAGAGCACGCAGTGTCAGGAGGTCCTGGGAGGAGAAAACGTCACAATCGCCGCTGCTGCTTGAAAGAGGACATCGCAAACAGTATAATCTATGGAAGCTCTGACTCTCCTGCTGCTTGAAGAACTGGCATGTTGGCGTATTACTGTCAGTTGCCTTGATGTTCTGACAGAGAAGGTGTTTCCGAAAGAAAACACCTGACGGGGGTGGATGAGATGACAATAGGCGCATTCTCGATATATAAGGACGCACACCCATTACTGAAATTTCTAATGTTATAGTTTAAAATCAAGGACCTAAGATGCCCTCGGTCCTCCGTACCTGTGCGACAGGTTCGGTCCATAAACCGTGGCGAGCGCGACGAAGAGCACCACCGACAGTGAGCCGGCCAGCATCCCGCGAATCATGGCGTAAGTTACGCTTAGTTGAACGGTGCTATCTGTGGAAGCTCGTTGATCGGGCACGACGCGAGCTGAGGTGAATCGGGAAGGCAAATAAGTCGTGGGAGTGGAAGAGAACAATCATTACTTATCACACTATTGCACTTCGTACTAGCGCGTCTGGATGGTGTAGATATTATTAAAGCGCTAGCTTACCTCTCGTTTCGTAGTTTGCCTCGCGCTCACTCAAGCTCGGTGCAGAAACTACTAAAGCTCCCAGGGTTTACTGGAGGGAATCGCGCGGTTCATGTTGAGAGGATACGCGCACAGGTCGACGGAAACAGGGCGAACGAGGGGATAGGTGGACGTTCCTTTCCATGTAACTGGGTGACGGGAGACAATACGCGCACCTCACTTAATACCAGTTGGTACGACCGGGATAGGATATGCGAGGGAAACCTAAACAGCAGCGCATAATGACAGGATAGGCGCACGCACCACAAGGCACGGTAATGAAGGAGCACGGGAGAAAGGGGGAAGTGTGTGGGGAGGCTATGCGCCATGAGATAGAGGCACTACCGAAACTGACCTTCTAATCCGACGGTCAGGAATCTCGCCGTAAGCAAGGAATCGCATTCGCAGAATAATGCCCAACGCCCTTCAAAGGTGGTGGGCTATGGCGGAATATGCAGACTTACGTACGTGCTAAGCTTTCCCGTTTCCTCCTGACCTACATTAGGCCGTGTCACATCTGTACGGCCAAAATTTCGGCGACAGACTTTCGACCCTGGAACACCCAATATGGTGTAGACATGGTTACACTCAACCGGAGTCTCAAGTTCCCCTCAATTGCCTCATCCTTCCTACCTTTGGTTGGGTCACTAGGTCCAACCAACCTTCCTACCTTTGAAACCTGTGGACCTTGGGTTTTATAACCGTAGGGTCAAGAAGCACGAAATTGGTTCAAGCTTCTAACCTTGGTTGGGTGTAACCCGGTTCCCACCAGGTCCAACAACGAGAACACGCAAAATTCTCTCTCACCTTTCGCCAACCAAACGCACTGTAGCAACGAACGACGACGGAAGGCCAACCAACATCGTACGGAATGATCGCCCAAACTCTAACCTCAACAAACATGACCCGCTAGGCAAGAGAAACTTGTCCCAAAACGCCAGGGTTTAGGGTTGGCATCAAAGAAAGGGAGGCTTACAGTGGGGGAAAAGGCCGAGGGAGAGTGGGGGGAAGGACGGGGGGGAGTGGGTGAATGGACGGGTGGGAGTGGGGGAAAGGACGTGGGGGAGTGGGGGAAAGGATGAGGGGGAGTGGGGGAAAGGGCGAGGGGGAGTGGGGGAAAGGACAGGGCAGTGGGAGAATGGACGGGTGGGAGTGGGGGAAGAGAATAGCGTTAGTGCAAGAGAATGGAAGCGTGAGGGGAGGGACACGGAAGCGTTCGCGGAAGGAAATGGGAGCGGGAGGGGAGAAGCCTGGCAGCGGGACGGGAAAGGGATGGAAGCGTGAGCGGAAGGGGATGGAAGCGTGAGCGGAAGGGGATGGAAGCGTGAGCGGAAGGGGATGGAAGCGTGAGTGGAATGGGAAGGAAGCGAACGCGGATAGGGTTGGAAGCGTGAGCGGAAGGGGTCAGATGCATGCGTGGAAGGAGATGGATGCGTGAGGTGAAGGGGATGGCTTCATGCTTGGCTGAGAATGGAAGGGACGGGAAGAGAAAGGAAGGGACGGGTGGGAGGAGAAGGGAAGGAAAAGGAAGGGTAGGAAAGGGAGGGAAAGCAACGGACTGGAAGAGATAGGAAGGGAAGGGAAAAGGGAGTAAAGGGAAAGGAAGGAAGCGAGAAGGTAATGGAGGGGGCGCATCCGCGGGAATGGAAATGAGGGGTTCGAAGGGAAGGGAAGGGAAAGGAATGGTATGGAAGGTCGAGGATGGGAGTGGATGACATTCATGAAAAGGGTAAGGAAGGGAAGGGAAATGAGTGGAGAGGCAGGAACAGGAGGGGAAAGGAAGGAAGGTGAATAAAGGGATGGGAATGGGATATATACCTCGAAGGGTGGGGACGTAATTTTGCCTGCAGGGAAGTGAGGGTATGGGATGGCGGATCGCAGGAATTTGGCCTGCAGGGAGGGTGGGAGTGGGGGAAAGGGAGGGTTGGAGTGGGGGAAAGGGAGGGTTGGAGTGGGGGAAAGGGAGGGTTGGAGTGGGGGAAAGGGAGGGTGTTAGTGGTGGAAAGGGCGGGTGGTAGTGAGGGAAGGGGGGGATTAGCGTGGGGGAAGGGGCCCCTTGGCGTGGGGGACAGGGAGGGGTACCGTGTGGGAGAGGGCTGGCTCGGGGGGAAGGGAGGGTTGGCATGAGCGAAAGGGAGGGTGGGATTGGGGAAAAGGGAGGGTTGAATTGGGGGAAAGGGAGGGTTGAATTGGGGGAAAGGGAGTGTTGGCGTGGGGGGGAAGGGAGGGTTGGCGTGGGGGGGAGTGAAGGGGAGAGAAAGGGGAATGGAATGGCAGCGGGAGGGTTAAGGAATGGAAGCGTGAGTGGTAGAGAATGGTAGAGTGAGGGGCGGGTAATCAAGGCGTTCTGGGATGGAAATGGGAGCGGGAGGGGAGAGGCCTGGCAGCGGGACACGAAGGGGACGGCAGCGTGAGCGGCAAAGCAAGGAAAGAGAAATGAACGGGGAATCGGGGACCTTGGAAAATGGTTTGGCGGTTTGAGTAATTGGGAATCGCGGCGTGTGGAAAAAGAGAATCGCGGTGAGGATTTGTGGCGTGAGAAAACCGTATCGATCGCGTTTAAAAAGGGGTATCGTGGCGTCACAAGAGCGCGCCAAGATCAAACCCTAATCGCGGTCATTCCAGATGGAATATACGAGGTTAGGAGCTCGCGGCGTGGAAAGAACGCACTTGTTCGCGTATCCGAGGCGTGCGCAGTGGCATCAATGTCGCAGCTGTAGGCGACGACGACGGACGTAGACTTCTCCTTCCCTTTCCTGGAACATGCAATGTTACGTGACGCCAGGGGCTTTGCTCCTTGCGTAGAGTTGTCGGAATAAGTACTACGAGTCTAGGCTTACTTAGCTCCTGCCTGGGGTGAGGTGGGGTTGGACGAAACAGAGCGAGGGAGGTTGAGGTCGCATTCGAATTCGGGTCCTTTGGCGAGCTTGCTCTGGCACGCGAACCTCGTCAACATTCTCGACACTTCCTCTGTTCGCGGACCAATCGCAATTTCTTCCCAAACCAAGCTTCCTAACGACGTGTTGCGACCCAAAGAGATTGGTTTGGGTCGGCTCGACCTGGTCGGCTAAACCCAACCCGACCAGATCTCCAGAAACGCGACTCGGGAAATCACGGAATTTCCCGCACATTTTCGTGCACCCGCGGGGGGATGGTGAGCTGGGAAATTCGCGGCGATTTTACCGGGTATCATTCTGTGCGGCGAAATCGAGGCGACGGTTGTGCGATCACCCTGAAGTTCGCAGGATATGGTAACCTTCTCCAGCTCGGTTGGGTTAGGTCTGGTTGGCCTGGTTGATCCGATTTGGTCGACCCAGGTCCGGCAGACCCAGCCGGGTCTGGTTGGCTCGACCTGGTCGGCTAGACCCGCGACGCAGCCTTCCTGGAAATGATGTATCGGGGGGTACGACCCAATCCGTGTGGGTCGCGCAACACGTTGTAAGGTTGAAAGCTGTGGCCCGCGGGTTTCAACAATTTCGTCAAACTTGGAACTCTGGTTATCTGCTTCCTCAACGCGGCACACATCTTTCCGAACCACGTACACGAAACCACATTGGCAGGCCTGGGCGATAACCGTTCAGCGCGATAGACAAAGCTATTTGCGAATCGATTTGCGACGGGCGTGAGCGGAGGGGATGGCGGCGACGGCGACGGAGGACGTGACAGTGAAGGAGCCGCTGGATTTGATTAGATTGAGTCTCGACGAGCGAATCTACGTGAAGCTGCGAGGCGAGCGAGAGATCCGCGGCCGACTACACGTACGTCTGCGCGCGGCGCGTGAGCTTCACGAAACTCGGGCGTCACGCCCCGCGCGTTAGCTTCCGCGTCGATTAAACTTGAAAATCATCGCGGCGTGCTCGAAGTGGGCGTCGACGTCCGTCGACCAAACTTTGAGGGATGTCGGTAAATCCTGACGGTTGGAATCGTCAATCCGAGGGTTGACATTCACCGACATCCCTCGACGGATGTTGGTGTTCACTTCGAACACGCCATTAGTGTCTGGGTTAGCAATATTGTTTTTAGACGTCTCGAAACGTTGATAACGCCCTAGGCGACGGTTTACGACAGTTTACGCCAGTTCGCGACAATACGCGACGGTTTGCGATAGCTGTCCGGGTTGGTGAGCCGCTACTCTCTTTCGCCGAACCTTTGAGCTTAGGAAAACGGTTTTTGAAGCGAAACTCGGGTAACTGTCCGCGCTACAGCGTCGTGACGCGTTAGGCCGCTCGTTTCCTAGCTAACCCCGCTTGCCTCGCTCACCCGCTCACCAGTTAGGGCGGACTCCTTTCTTGCCTGTCTTTCCCCTTCAGAGCGGGGAGAGCGGGGAGGGGCGCATGGGGCGATCAGGTGTGCAGCCCGCCACCCACCCACCCGATTGCCTTCCGCACCCTGCGCTCCCCTTATCCACTTTTCCCTTTCGCATCCGCCACATGCGTGCAGCGTGCAGGAGTGCAGGCGTGCACTCCACCACCCACCCAACCATGTGCCTTCCCTTGTCCTGCGCGTTCAAATCCCGCTCTCCTCTTCCCCGTCTCCCGCATCTAACCCCTCCCTGCAGATCCTCCACGCACGCTCTTGAGAATCTGCTTGCTACTGCATCGCTGTTGTGCCCCCCCCTCCCCTACCCCCCCTCCTTTCCCCTCTTGCCACTCTTCTCTCCCCCCTTCTCTTCTTTTCCCATCCCCCCTCTTTCCCCTCTCTCCCCCACCTTTCCCCTCTCTTCCCCTCCTCACGTCTTTCTCCTCTTTCCCCCCTCTCCCCCACCTTTCCCCTCTCTTCCCAAACACCTCCCCCCGTCTTTCCCCTCTCTCCCCCGTTCTTCCCTCTCTCTCCCCCTTCTTCCCCCTCTCTCCGCTTTCTTTCCCCCCCTCTCCCCCCTCTTTCTCTTCTCTCTCCCCCTTCTTTCCCCTCTCTCCCCTTTCTTCCCCCCCCCTCTCCCCCACTCTTTCTCTTCTATCTCCCCTCTCCTTCCCTCTCTCTCCCTCTCCCCTCGCGGCACCCTCCTGCCAGGCACACGGCCACCATGCGAACATGTCACTGCTGGCGAGGCGGACGTGATGGTTACCACTTCATCCCCCTTGTGCTGCCGCTCTCCCTCCGCCCTCCACCCCCCCCCCCCCCGCCCCTCACCCCACCCCCCATTCCCCCCGCCCCCCAATCACCCCACGCCCCCCGCCTCACCCGTACCCCTTGTACCACTCGCTCCTCTCCTGCCCTCCGCACTCTCCTCGCTCCCCTACTCTCCTCCCCTCTTCACGTGATCCACCCGCATCTCAGCTTGAGCCTGCATTTCTCTCGCCTCTCCGCTTCTTACATTCCCCTCTCCCCCCCACTGCTCCCCCCCACCCCCCACAACAACACTCCCCGCTCCCCCTCACTGCATTCCCCCCTCTCCCTCACTCCTCTCCGCTCCCCCATCCACAGCACTCATATTCACCCCACTGCTCTTCACCCACCCCACGCACACCTCTCAGGAGAGCTGCCCGCTCGTTAAGAGCTGCCCGCTCGTTGAGAGCTGCCCGCTCGTTGAGAGGCACTTACCAGCGGTGGGGGGTCATTGCGTGCCTGCACATTCTAAATGTGCGACCACACCACCTCCCGTTTCCACCCCCCCCCCCCCCCCCTCAAACGTGCACGCATGGCATGGCAGGCGTACGACCAGCATCTGAACATGATTCTGGGGGAGGCGGAGGAGGCGGTTATCACTGTTGAGAGATCAGCGGTATCCAGCCACAGTTCGTTTCCCCCTTTCGTTTCCCGCCATTCCTTTCCTGAAACGTGCACGCGTGGCATGGCAGGCGGAGGAGGTGGTGACGACCTTTTGAGGCGCCTCACAACAACCGCACCTGCCCTGTCCACCCCCGCCCCTTCAACACGTGCACCCATGGCAGGCGTACGACCAGCATCTGAACATGATTCTGGGCGAGGCGGAGGAGGTGGTGACGACTGTGGAGATTGACGACGAGACGTACGAGGAGATTGTCAAGGTGGGGGTGAGGGGAGGGTTGGGGGGGGGGGATTTAAGTCTTCTACAAGTGATTTTGTAGGGGCATCAAGGCGTGGAGGAGGTGGTGACGACCGTGGAGATTGACGACGAGACGTACGAAGAGATTGTCAAGGTGGGGGGGAGGGCGGGGGGGGCAATCCTGAGAATTCTTAGAGTAATTTCCTAGGCGCCTCAAAGGGCGGAGGAGGTGGCTACCACTGCTGAGATTCACGCTGAGGCGTGCGAGGAGATTGTGAAGGTGGGAGTACACGCACGTGCGATGCCAGGGGTACACGCACGTGCGATGCCAGGGGTACACGCACGTGCGATGCCAGGGGCTGTCACTTATGGAGAAGAGAGGGAGCGATGGGGAAGGGAAGGAGGATGGGGAAGGGAGCGGGGATGGGGAAGGGAGGGGGGATGGGGAAGGGCTCGTATCAGCCCTGCACGCTTTCACTCTCACTTCCAGCCCTCACCCCCTTTTACCATCCCCCATTCCCCTCCTCTTTTTTTCTCTTCCCTTTCTTCGCCACTCCCTCCTCCCTATTCCTTGCCCCCCCCTTCCTTCCTCCCCCGTTGTCCTCTTTCCCCCATTTACTCTTCCACGCCCCTTCTTTGATTTGCATCCCCTCGCCTCCTCCTCCTCCCCTTACTCCCCTCTCCCTTTCTCCCCACCCCCATCCTCCCATCGCCCGCTTCCCCCCATTTTCTCCTTCCTGCCGGCATCAAGATGTGACGTCCCACTCCCTGCTGTGTGCTTTATCACGGGCAATGCTGCTTAAGCTGCCTCTGGTGGCCCCTCTCATGCACTCCATTCTCCAGCCGTAACTCCCCTCCCTTGCACCCCTCCTCTTGCCTTCTCATCTCCCCCCCGCACACCCACCTCCCCCCTCATTCTCACCCAACTATAGCCCCACCACCCCCAACACCCCCACCACCTTCCACCAACCCTAACCCCCCTCCACCACCCTCCGTGCTTCCTGATCTGAGGAAAAAGCACGGAACATTGTATCACAATTTATGAAACGTCAAGCTGCAGCATCCGCTACCACTCCTCACACCATCCTCCCCGCCAGGAACACACACACTCTCTCCTCACTCCCCCCTCCTTCCTTTCCCCCTTCCCTGCAGACATCAAGGCGCAACATCCCGTTCATCTTTGTGAGAGGCGACGGGGTAATTCTGGTCTCGCCTCCACTGCGCACGTAGCAGCAGCAGCAGCTCTTAAGAAACGAGGAGCAGATAATGGATTCGACTTGCGTGGGTAGAACGACAGGCAGGCGGGCTGGGAAGGAAGGAGCTGTTTAGTGTAAGTACAACGCTTGGGTCAATTACATCGTGTTGTCCACCTCATTACCTCTTGCGTATTAGGGTAGAGTGCTGTGCTTCTAGCAGTTATGCCAGCAAATCACAAAGCCTACATAATACAAGTAAGGATGCTATTATTTTTTGCTCTTTCAAAGCAGAAATCAGAATAGAACATGTATACCGTAATAGGAATATGGGATTGGGATACTCTCATTGCTAACAATCCAACCCATACACTGGCAACAAAACTCATTGTGGGAGTTGAATAGGGTTACCAGTGTTTGATTAGTGCTTCTCACGAACAAGTAACATCGTTAATATTCAACACCTCATTTGAGCTATGCGAAAGGAACTACGAACGCATAAAATTCGGTTTCTGCGACACTTCGAATTGTTGGCGAAACAAATATCTCGAGTTATCCGCATCGCCCGGTGAGCTGCATTATTCTAATCACCGCGTTGCGGGTGCTGCGATTGGCTGTGGGCCGTACTGGAATGTTGGGGGCTTCCCTCCAGAAGTGTAAACAAAGAAACACCTTTTCTGAAATTGTTTTATTGTTTTGGCTCTCAGAATGCTTCCGTCTAGGGCTCGAAGATGTCCGTTTATTACTGGCGCACACGTCACTAGATTTTGTTTTTCTAATGCGAGATTTTCAGGGGTCCCTTAGGCCACTGCAAAGGTGGCTGCACAATCCCAACTGTACTGTAACTGTTGGAGGTGAATAAAACATTTCCTTCAGCCCAATTTTCCACATTTTCACGAGCCACGCTGAAAGTGGGGGATCAGAAATACAATGGTTAGCTTCTGGGGTGAAAAGAAAATCCATGCTGAAAGACAAACATAAAATATCAGAATCACAAAACTGTGTAGATTTCTCCAATTGTGCATTATCGAGCAATCCTCCCCATTGGCTGAAAACGCTGACCACGCAGCTGCTCAAATGCTCACGACTTCTACCAACTGCTCGCTGGGAGCCGGAAGTTGCATAAAACGAGACTCAAGCACTCCAGCCTCATCACCTCATACTTTTCCAGCTTACCTCCAGAACTGCCTCGTGAGCAAGTGTCGACTGTACTACGGCGCAGCCCAGTTACTGACCTCGAGCTAGTGAAAATCATCAGTATGTTGCTGGCGTTATTTTTCGTGCTCGTTTTGGCTTGCGGACCGCGGGATAGCGAAGGGGCTGTGGGGCGGGGGCTTCTTCAGAAGAGCGATCCAAGTAAGACCACTTGTGACTCCGAGGCTGTAAAAGTGTGATGAGGTGGGAATAGAAGACGCAACTCACAGCTTGATCATATTGGAGCTTTCAATTGGATTGTTGTTTCTTCCACCGAAGCTTACTTTTTTTTCAGATCTCAATCATCAAGACTCTTGAAGATGCAAAAGACAGAAACGGACGATAGCTTGCTACCCGTAGCAACCACGAAGATTCAAGATAGTAACGGACGATTCTTCATTTGTCTCCCCAATCCTCCCCTAACTACAGTCGGGCGGGTGCATCAGGTCGGGGAATCTGTTAATGCGCCTGGTGGTGACTCGCGCATTCCCGTGCGCGTCCAAGACGGTCCGCGGGAGCGCAAATTGCAAGGCTCTGTAACTATTTCAACGCTTTGGAGGGATGAACGTGAGAATTTGAGTCAGACGACTCTCAGGCCGGCGGGCACAGCCAATCCAGCAAGGCAGAGCGCGGCCAAGTCGACGCCGACGCGAGATGATGATGGGCCGTTGACCCCCGCGCAGTTAAATGTGGAATCGCAGAACTTGCAGAAGGCGCGCTCTAGTATGAGCACGGAGGAATACCGTATAGTTCCGGCTAGAAGACCCGGGGGACTCTCTAGAATTGCTTGAAATAATGCTAGGGTGGACATCTTGGCGGTTGCAAAATTTTAAGACCCGGGGTACACTTATTTACCATCTATCAATCTGTTATTTAGGGTGTACAGCTCACTTTGGGGCGGGGGGTCTTATATTCGTACCGAATTCGCGCAAATTTCGCGCGAGCGGCACGTCAGATCTGTGTCAGAATTCGAGTCTGACACAAGTAAAGTGTCAGAATTCGAGTCTGACACAAAAAATGTGTCAGAATGCAAATTTGTGCCAGTAAAAACTGATGCACAATAGCATTAAGAACTACTGTATACAGAAAAGGGGGGGTCTTATGATGATTAGAGGCAAAGGGGGGGTCCTCACAAAATCTGCCACAATAAGAGTCCCCCTACCCATTCAAGAGTCCCGGGGGACCTTCTTACCGGCGGGTCTTTTAGCCGGAACTATACGGTACCTTGAGAAGATGAAGAAGCTAACGCACCGGCTTACCATCTCGCCATAGCACGAGCATGTGAGGGCAGGAGCTGTGGGGGCAGGAGCAGAAGCAGGCAACACTGAACCGACGCATGAAGGTTCCGGAGAGGGTACCATGGACATATGCGATCAGAGGATTCATGATTTGGGGAGGGAGCATGAGGAGTACGTGGAGATTATGGATCGGGGACACCTTGGAAACCAGAAAGCTTTCGAAGGTGAAGTCGGAGCAGGAAAGAGCATACATGGGAAGCGATGAATTGAGGTAGTGTGGTTGCTCGTGTTTGTAAGATGCAGTAGTTGGTTGGTTATAGGGTAGCTAATGTCAAACATATATATGTGTTATAGTTTTGTGTAGGCTGTAGTGGGGTAGATACTGTGGGGTACAACCCCTTAGGTTTCTTCCTTGTACCAAATCTCTCGATAGTGCAAGCCATTCATGCCTAAGTTTCTAAGATGGTATCAGAGCAGTAGGTCTTTAGGACCTAAGATTAGGGCCCACCGGTTACCGCGTTACCTCACCTACCGCCTTGCCTGCCTGCCTGTCTTGCCTGCTGCCCGCGCGCGCCTCGGCTGCACGCGCGCGGCCCTTTTTTTTTTCCCGCGCGCGACGCTTAAGCAGCCCGCGCAGCCCGTTTTCGGCCCCGCGCGCCGTGTTAGCCGCCCGCGCAGCCTGCTGCCGGCCCACGCGCCGCATAAGCCGCCCGCGCGCAGCCCGCTTAGGCCCCGCCCGCGCAGCCCGCCGCCGCACGCAGCCCGCAGCCGCGCGCAGCCCGTCGCCACGCGCAGCCAGCAGCCGCGCGCAGCCCGCAGCCGCGCGCAGCCCGTCGCCACGCGCAGCCAGCAGGCGCGCGCAGCCCGCAGCCGCGCGTGCCCTGCCCGTGTGCCGCCCGTGAGCCGCGCGCCTGCCTGTCTTAGCCTGCCTGGAGCGCCTGCCTTGAGCGCCTGCCTGCCCAGAGCGCCTGCCTGCCTTGAGTGCCTGCCTGCCTTGAGCGCCTGCCTGCCAAGAGCGCCTGCCTGCCTTGAGCGCCTGCCTGCCAAGTGCGCCTGCTTGCCTTGAGCGCCTTTCCTGCCGCGCGTGCCTCCCTACTGCGCGCGTTTGCTTGCCCTGCACGCCATCTCCGCTGCCTTGCCTGCACTGCTACTATGGCGACACTTAATGTGCTCGCGTTCGATCCTGACGGTCGTCCAGTAGAGTTCGCCACCTGGCTCGACGACCTGCAACTGTTCCTCCTGACTGATTCCCTGTTCGATTACGTGTCTGGCACTGCCGTTGCTCCTGCTGACACTGCGCCTGCTCTAGACCGCTCCCAGTGGCAGACCCGCGATGCTGCTGCGCGCCTAGCAATTCGCAACCATCTGCCGATCACAGAGCGCGCGCATTATAGCCAGCATAAGACTGCCAAAACACTGTACGACGCTGTAGTTGCCCACTACTCTTCCCCGGCCACTGCAGCCCTCGGTCGACTTATGCTACCCTACCTGTTCCCCGACCTGTCCTCGTTTACCACCGCTGAGGACCTCATCTCTCACCTACGCGCTAGTGACACTCGCCTTCGTGCCGCCCTTCCAGCCGAGTTCCTCGCAGAGAACCACCCCCCGATGTACTTTACTCTCTACTTCCTCATCACCCGCCTCCCTGACACTCTTCGCTCAGTTAGGGACCACTTCCTCGCCCTTGACCCCCATTCTCTCACTGTCGACGACCTCGAGAAGCACCTCCTAGCAGCCGAGAAGAACATTCTAGCTGTAGGTGCTGCTCGTGGTACTCCCCGCACTCCCCTCTTTGAGGGGTGCTCCCCCTCCCATCTTACCCCCTCCTACGCCTCCGCAGCTGCTGCTGTCGACCTCCTTGGTGCTGAGAAGGTCGCAGCTGCTTCCGCTCCGAGTGGGAAGCGCAGCGGCTTCAGGGCGGGCAAGGGTGGCAGGGGTGGCGGACGTGGCGGTGGAGGGGGCGGTGGTGGAGGCGGCGGGGGCGGTGGAGGTAGTGGCGGTGGTCGTGGGGGTGGAGGTAGTGGTGGGGGCGGTGGTGGTGCCGGGAGCAGTAGCGGTGGCGGCGGCGGTGGTGGCGGAGGGGGGAGTGGTGGTGGCGGCGGTGGTGGGGGCTTGGGTGACACCAGTGGTGGCCAGGGGCAGCAGCAGCAGCAGCAGCAGCAGCGTCAGCGCCAGACCCCCACTTCCCAGCAGCTTCTTGACTGGTATGCCGGGCGTGGGGCGTCTGGGGGTCCTGGTCGCTGCCCCTATATCATTCGCACAGGTCCCCGCGCTGGTCGCCAGTGCACAGGGTTTCACACTGAGTACCGCTGCTTCGCTCGGCTTAGCGACGCCTGGCGCGTCAAGTTTCCTGATGCTACTGAGTTCCCCAACTGGGCAGACCTGCTTAGGCGTGATGTACCTATATTTGATCTTGACTATGAGGCTATTCTTGCTGCCATGTATGCATTGACTGTTAGTGCTGAGGGTGACTGCTACTTGTGTGTGCCGCCTGACCCCGGTATAGCCCCAGGTATAGCGCCTGTGGCACTAGGTGCTTGTGAGTCTGCTCCTCCTGGTACTGCGTCCGCACAGGCATTGCACACCTTCACACTTGACTCTGGTGCTTTCCGCTGTTTCTTTCGCGACAGCACCACAGTCACTCCCCTCCCTGCACCTGTTCTTGTCTCACTGGCTGACCCCTCTGGGGGCCCAGTGCTTGCACGGTCTTCCACTGTGCTTCCGTGTCCGGCGGTCCCGTCTGGTGAGCTGTCTGGTCTCCACCTCCCCTCGTTCTCTACGAACTTGGTGAGCAACGCCGTCCTTCAGGATCACTGGGTTGACACCTTTACTCCTGGAGGACAGCGTGTGGCGATCTGCACGTGCTCCTGGACCGGCCGTCACCTGGCCACGTTCACGCGTGCGCCTGGGTCTAGTCTGTACACCCTCACCACTGCGTCGCGCTCCACCCCTTTGTCTCCCTAGCTGTACGCGTCTGCTCAGGTAGCTACCCAGTATGAGTGTCGCCGGCTGTCGCACGACACTCTCCTGTGGCACCACCGCCTTGGTCACCCCTCCCTGCCTCGCCTTCGTAGCATGCACTCTCGCTTCCTGGTCTCTGGCCTTCCCAGGTCTCTGCCTGCCCTCCCTCCCTCGCCTGCGCCGCCCTGCATTCCTTGCGTCGAGGGGCGGCAGCGCGCCGCTCCTCACTCCTCCTCGTTCCCTCCCACAGAGGCTCCACTGCAGACTCTCCACCTGGATGTGTGGGGCCCAGCCCGCGTCCGTGGACAGGGCCACGAGCGGTACTTCCTGCTGGTCGTCGACGAATACACGCGTTACACCACGGTCTTCCCCTTGCAGCGCAAGGGGGAGGTCCCTGATGTTTTGATCCCCTGGATCCGCGCTGTTCATCTCCAGCTCCGCGAGCAGTTCCAGTTGGACTTTCGTGTCCTGCGTCTGCACTCTGACAGGGGTGGTGAGTTCTCCTCAGACCTCTTGGCAGCCTTCTGTGCGGAGCACGACATCCGCCAGACGTTCACGCTTCCGGACTCTCTGCAGCAGAATGGGATTGCTGAGCGCCGCATTGGCTTAGTCATGGAGGTCGCTCGTACCTCGATGATCCATGCGGCTGCCCCCCATTTTCTGTGGCCGTTTGCGGTCCGGTACGCCGCGCATCAGCTCAACCTCTGGCCCCGTGTCTCCTTGCCGGAGACCTCGCCCACACTGCTGTGGACGGGGAAGGTTGGCGATGCGTCGCGTTTCTGGGTCTGGGGTGCTCGTGTCTTTGTCCGCGATACCACCGCGGACAAGCTCTCCGCTCGGGCCATTCCCTGCGTCTTCCTTGGCTTTGTCCCTGACGCGCATGGCTGGCAGTTTTACGACCCCGCCTCGCGCCGTGTCTTTCCGTCTCAGGACGTCACCTTTGACGAGTCCCTCCCCTTTTACCGTCTCTTTCCCTACCGCACTGCCCCTCGCCCCCCCCCCGCCGCTCTTTCTCGCCCCAGGTCCTCCCCAGGTAGACCCCCTCCCCGCGCCAGGTCCTGCTCCTTCAGGTGTTTCTCAGGTAGACCCTCCCGTGCCTGCGCCTGTTGAGGTCACTGGTGACTCAGGTCTTGCTGGGGGTGGTGCTGTCTTTGGGGGTGCTGGGCCTGGGGGTGCGGAGCTTGGGGGTGCTGAGCCTGGGGGTGCGGAGCTTGGGGGTGCTGAGCCTCGGAGTGCGGAGCCTGCGCGTGAGGACCCAGGAGGTGCTGAGCCAGGGGGTGCGGAGTCTGGGGGCGCTGAGCCTGAGCGTGAGGAGCCTGGAGGTCCTGAGCCTGGGGGTGCTGTGTCTGGAGGTGCTGAGCCCGAGCGTGAGGAGCCTGGGGGTACTGAGTCTGGGGGTACGACGCCTGAGGGTTCTGAGTCTGCTGCTACGCGGTCTCCTTGGAGTAGCCGCCTTCGTCCGCGTGTGCCTCTCACCTCACATCAGCTGCACGACTGGTACGGTCGCCGTCAGGGTCGCGCTTCTGGAGCTCGGGGCTCTGCCGCTGGAGGTACTTCTGCTGACGTCACTGGAGCTGGGAGTGGTGCTGGTACCGGAGGTGCTCGTACTGGAGGTGCTGGAGATGCTGGGGCTGGAGGTGCTGGTGAGCCTGAGCGTACTACTGCTGGAGACCCTGGGTCTGGGGGTGCTGCTGCTGGAGACACTGGGGCTGGAGACCCTGGGACTGGGGGTGCCGGTTCTGGGGGTGCTGCTGCTGGTGGAGCTGGTCCTGGAGGAGCTGGCGCTGAGGGTTCTGGAGGTGCTGGAGGTGCTGGAGCTGCTGGGGTACTAGAGCTGCTGGTGCTGGTGGCACTACACAGCCGCGCCTGTTCTTCGCTCCACCGTCTCCGTCGTCTCAGCCACCGCCTGACTCTGTACTTCGCCAGGTTCTTAGTCTCCCTTCGTCTACTGGTCTTCCGTTATAGCCTGGCTCACCGCTGCCTGCTCCTTCTCCTTACGCTGAGCAGACAGGGGGTCTTACTGAGCGTCGTGAGCCTGCGTCGCGTCCTGTCTCGCCTGTCTGTTCTGGTCGTTCCGGTCGTCGTGTTCCTCGTCCGCGTCAGCCGACTGTCCCCGGCACCCACCTCGTAGTCCGTCGTCCTTCCTCTCCTCCGCAGCGTGTTCCTCTGCCGTCTCCTCCTGCGTCTTCTCTCCCTGTCGTTGTGGACCCTGAGTCTGACCGGTTTCGTGCTGAGCACCCTACTGTCACGCGTCTGCTAGCCACTGTTGTCACTGACCCGTCGTTTGAGTCTGCTGCTGCGTCTGCCTTTGTCGCTGAGCTGGTTGACTTTGCTGCTGCCTGTCGTCTAGACTACGCTGCTAGTCTTGTTGCTGAGTCTGAGTCTGTCTGTCCTCCGTCCGTCGGGGGTGAGTGTGCTCTTGGCACGGACGTCCTTGAGGACAGACAGGAGGACCTTGAGTGTCTTGCAGCCGCTGCGCCTCATCTCGTGGCCATGCTGCTTGCCCCTGAGGGAGACCCGGATGCACCAGACATCCCGACCCCGCGCTCTTACGCTGAGGCGATCGCGGGTGAGTACTCCTCTCAGTGGCAGACAGCCATGGACGCAGAGATGGCATCCTGGAAGTCCACAGGCACCTACGTCGACGAGGTACCCCTCCTGGGGCGAACATCGTCGACGGCATGTGGATTTTCAGGGTGAAGCGGCCGCCAGGTTCTCCGCCTGTCTTCAAGGCTCGTTACGTTGCTCGAGGCTTCAGTCAGCGGGAGGGAGTTGACTTCTTCCAGACTTTCTCCCCCACCCCGAAGATGACCACTCTTCGGGCACGTTGCCGCTCAGCGTGACTACGAGCTTCACTCTCTTGACTTCAGCACAGCTTTCTTACAGGGCAGCCTGCACGAGGAGATCTGGCTGCGCCGCCCACCTGGCTTCACTGGGTCGTTCCCTCCTGGTACCCAGTGGAGCCTCCGGCGGCCGGTCTACGGTCTCCGCCAGGCGCCACGTGAGTGGCACGACACACTGAGGACGAGACTTGCGGCTCTTGGGTTTGCTCCTTCGACTGCTGACCCGTCGCTGTTTCTGCGCACCGACACTTCGCTGCCGCCGTTTTACATCCTCGTGTACGTCGACGACTTGGTCTTTGCCACTGCTGACACTGAGGCTCTCGCCCTGGTGAAGTCGGAGCTGCAGAAGAGACACACGTGCACAGACCTGGGTGAGCTGCGCAGTTACCTTGGCTTGCAGATCACCCGGGACAGAGCACGCCGCACCATCACACTGACTCAGTCACACATGGTGCAGCAGGTCCTTCAGCGCTTCGGCTTCACCTGGTCCTCGGCACAGGCCACTCCTCTGGCTACAGGTCACTCGCTCTCAGCTCCACCTTCGGACGAGTCCGTAGAGCCGAGTGGTCCTTACCCAGAGCTAGTTGGCTGCCTCATGTACGTGATGACCTGCACTCGTCCTGACCTGGCGTACCCTCTTGGCCTTCTGGCTCGCTACGTGGCTCCTGGTCGGCACCGAAAGGTGCACATGGATGCTGCTAAGAGGGTACTGCGCTACTTGTGCAGTACATCGGGCATGGGGCTCGTGCTTGGAGGACAGGGCGACGTTGTCCTCACTGGTCACTCGGACGCTTCTTGGGTTGACGACCAGGCTACGCAGCGGTCGTCACAGGGTTACACCTTCAGTCTTGGCTCTGGCTCTGTTTCTTGGCGGTCTACGCGCTCGTCTTCTGTTCTCGGCTCCATTTGTGAGGCTGAGATCTACGCCACAGCCATGGCTGCACAGGAGTTACGCAGGCTCACCTACCTGCTGACCGACTTGGGAGAGAGGCCTCGTTCTCCTCCAGTTCTGTACGTCGACAACAAGGCAGCCATTGCCTTGTGTCAGGAGCACAGACTGGAGCACAGAACGAAGCACATCGCTCTGTGTTACTTCCTGGCTCGAGAGTTGCAGCAGCGGGGTCAGCTTCGTCTTGCTCACGTGGCCACTCGGGCCAACACTGCTGATATATTCACCAAGGCACTTCCGTCTGGTGATCATCAGCGCTTTTGTACTTTGTTGGGCCTTGTGCCTACGTTTCCACACTTGCTGTAGACTCTGCTTGTACTGTGATCTATATATACATATACCTGCATGCTTGATCTTGCTAGGTAGAGATCACTGTACTGTTTTTGTTGCATATATACCTCTGCATGTGAACTGGCCTTGTGGCCTTTTTGCTTGTGCTCAGTGTGTGTGGTGACGTTGTGATCCACCCTGAGCTTGCTTTGCTTTTCTTGACTGGTCTTGTGACCTCTTGCTCTCCCCCACTTTGCCTATGGGGGTGTGTCAAACATATATATGTGTTATAGTTTTGGGTAGGCTGTAGTGGGGTAGATACTGTGGGGTACAACCCCTAGGTTTCTTCCTTGTACCAAATCTCTCGATAGTGCAAGCCATTCATGCCTAAGTTTCTAAGAGCTAAAGCTAGCAGGGTGAAACGTAACTTCAATCCAAACTAATCCATTACTACACAACATGCGATCAGGAAAATAACACAGAACCATGCCGAAGGGAGAGGGCAACAAGACTACAGAGTAAAGCTGAGGCAGCAAGGCATCAGCCGTAACTTGAACAACCACTTAAAGATGGGGAAGAACGGAACGGGGTGGGGTAGAATGGAAACGTTGGGGGAAAATGGGAGAGAATGGGAGGGGGTGGTGGAGAATGGGAGGGGGTGGTGGAGAATGGGAGGGGGTGGTGGGGGATGGGAGGGGGTGGTGGGGAATAGGAGAGGGTGGTGGGGGATGGGAGGGGGTGGTGGGGGATGGGGGAGGATGAGAGAGGGCTGGGGAGAATAGGAGGGGCTGGGGAATATAGGGAACGGGTGAGGGAGGAAGGGAGGTGACGGGAGAGAAAGGAAGGGGGGTTCGAAGGAATGAAATCGGATGGGGGAGTATAGAAGGGGGTTGGGGAAATGGAAAGGAGTGTGGGAAGTGTTGGGGGGGATGATGAAATGGTGGCGAGCGACAGAGGCAGCCGAGAGCAAAGCGCAGTGATGAACGGAGAGTGCAGTGATGAACGGAGAGTGCAGTGATGAACGGAGAGTGCAGTGATGAACGGAGAGTGCAGTGATGAACGGAGAGTGCAGTGATGAACGGAGAGTGCAGTGATGAACGGAGAGTGCAGTGATGAACGGAGAGTGCAGTGATGAACGGAGAGTGCAGTGATGAACGGAGAGTGCAGTGATGAACGGAGAGTGCAGTGATGAACGGAGAGTGCAGTGATGAACGGAGAGTGCAGTGATGAACGGAGAGTGCCCCTGCTTGGAGAGTGACTGCAAGGGAGAGGAGGGAACGGTGCGTGTGAATGTCTGCTGCACACACGCAGACAAAGGAGGGGCAGGGAGAGGGGTGAGGGGAAGGGAGGGGAGACTGAGCGAGGAGGGTGGAGGTGGGTGGACGGCAGGCGAGTCACATGCATGTGCCATGTCATGATGATGTGAGGATGCAGCACAGTACATGTGTATGGCATTCATGCGATAGTGGATGCACAAGATGGCATGGCATGTCATGGCATGGCATGGCATGTCATGGCACGGCACGGCACGGCATGGCATGGCATGGCATGGCATGGCATATGGCATGGCATGGCATGGCATGGCATGTCATGGCACGGCACGGCATGGCATGGCATGGCATGGCATGGCATGGCATGGCGTGATGGCGTGGCACACAGCAACAAAGGAGATGGGCTCGATGGCGTGGCACTCCGTGCGATGGGGGCGCGTACCTGCCAGCAGGTCTGGATTGGCCGGTGACTTTTGAGTCGACTCAAAAGTCCACTCAAAAGTCGACTCAAAAGTCACCTCGGGGCGTGCCCGCCGGCAGGTCTGGATTGGCCGGTGCTACAGCTCCCACAGCTCTCTCCCTCCTGTTCTGCTTTCATGCTGACGCGACCGCTGATGTGGCGGCTGAATGGGCAGGTGAGACCAGGGGATCGCAGTGCAAGGCGGTGGTGGGAGCGAATGGTGCGGAGCTGACGCCACCTGGAACTTCTGGGAACTTTCTCAAGGGCGTGAAAGTGGTGAGGCGGTTTTGGAAGGGGGAGGGGGAGGGGAGAGTGAAGCAGTGCGCTAAGCGTTTTCTTTAACACGATGGGGGGTTGTGTGCAGTGATGGGCGCGAGAGAGTTGTCAAGCAACACGAAGAGCTCATGGATTGCGATTTCTGGGTGGTTGTGATTTGCGCCCTCCCTCACCCACCTCATCGCTCCTCCCTCACCGTCTCCTCTGCTCCCCGCGCACCTCTCCATTGCCCCTCCGCCCCTCCTCTCCGTTTCATCGTCTCCCCCATCCCCCCCAATTCTCCACCATCCCCCCTCATTTCCCCATCCCCTCCCATTTTCTAACCCATCCAACCCCATTCTCACCCATCTCCTCGCATTCTCCTCACTACGTCGTCATTTGTCCTTCCCTTCCTCTCTGTTTCACTTCGCCCTCATCGTGCCCTCCACATCCGCTCCCCCATGGTCAGAAGTGCAGCACCTGCAATGATGATATGGGAGGGAGAGACCATCTATGGTTTGACATGCCTCCCTGCCATGTCTGCAGCCAAAACGCCATGTCAGTAGATGAAATGCCATATCAGTAGATGAAATGCCATGTCAGCAGATGAAATGCCATGTCAGCAGATGGAATGCCATGTCAACAGATGGAATGCCATGTCAACAGATGGAATGCCATGTCAACAGATGGAATGCCATGTCAACAGATGGAATGCCATGTCAACAGATGGAATGCCATGTGAATCATGCCATGTGTGTACAGGATGAACGTTGACGGCTCAAGGGTTGAACATGGCAAATGTGTTTGGGAGGGGGTGTAGAGCGGTGGGTATCATTTCCCTCATCAGGCCATCTCACTCACACACACCATCCCAAGCAATCACACAGTCCATACCATGCCACGTCACTCACACCTTCCCATACCATCATACAGTCGATGGCATGCCATATCACTCACTCAACATCCCATCCCATCACACACAGAGCGTTTCATGCCATCGGACTCACACACACCATCGCATGCCCTCACAAAGCCCATATCAAACCCCCTCATTCACACACCATCCCATGCAATCAAACCAAATTTCATGCCAGCTCACTCACACACCATCCTGCCAACAATTAGACCGTTTCATCCCATTTCGCTCATGCCATATTACCCACACATACCATCTCATGCAATCACTCACACCATCCCATACCATCACTCACACCATCCACTGACCTCATACAATCCGTCTTGACTCCCATGCCCCTCACTCCATCCATCCATCCGCACTGCACAAGATGCTGCATTCGTCCCTCAATGCCCCTCAGAGAGGTGCACACCAGGGTGGCATTATCAAAGGACCCCCATCACTGCCCAGGTGTGTGTCCATGTGCTGGAGCAGGTGAGTTCTCAGGTGGAGCAGGAGAGTTCTCAGGTGGAGCAGGTGAGTTCTCAGGTGGAGCAGGTGTGGAGCAGGGGTTGTTGTATAGAGCTAGGATGCCTAGTTAGACCGCACCCAGAGCATTGCCAGCGCCGCCAAGGTGGGAACTTGGAAGCCCATCATCCCTTAGCAGTCCCATTTCTGTGAAATTGCATAGTTTTGTTTGTGTCTGTGTGGAATGTTGTTTTTGTGAAATGTGAATATGTTCTCCAGATTATCCCGTCCCATCACATCCCATCCCATCCCATCCCATCACATCCCATCCCGACCCATCACATCCCATCCCGTCCCATCACATCCCATCTCATCCCATCCCATCCCATCCCATCTCATCCCATCCCATTCCATCCCATCCCATCCCATCCCATCCCATCCCATCCCATCCCATCCCATCCCATCCCATCCCATCCCATCGCATTCCATCCCTTCCTCCATGGCTGTTTCTTCCCCAAAGCTGGGCCCAGGCCAATCCTAATGCTTACATAGTTCCCATGAATTGCACCTCACTTGCCATATCACTTGTCATCACAGTCGCCACCTCAGCAGCCATCTCAGTTGCTCCCTCACTCCTCACCAGCAGGGCAGCTTGTTACCACCAATAGCTGGTTACCACTAATAGCTGTTACCACTAATAGCTGTTACCACTAATAGCTGTTACCACCAACATGCCCATTGGAACCGCGATCCCTCTCTCTCAGCTCCAAACCTCCTTCCCTCCTCTGCTTACCTTCACGCACCCCATCGCCTTCTCTCCCTTCACCCTGCTACCTCGCTTCCCTGTCCTCCCTGCTATCCACTTCCTGTGTTCACTCCGCCCTCACTTTCTTCATCCCCCCTTGATGGAAAACGATGTCTTCACTCCAACAGCAACACTCTGTTTCCTTGCTGCCTGCCATCCGAGGTTTTCAGTCACATCCATCCGCCCTATTCCTTCCTTCTGCTACGTGGCCCTTCCTATCGAAACCATGCACCTATGCTCCCATGCACCCATTCACCCACTCACCCATTCACCCATGCACCCATGCACCCATGCACCCATGCACTCATTCAGCCATGTACTTATTCACCCATGGACCCATGTACACACGTACCCATGCAGGCACAGATGAAGGTGAGTGTCATCATGTTTAATACAGCAGCCGGGAGCTGTTCAAATCACAAGCTCTCAATGTACACCTCATGATGCTGTGGACCTTCTGCTCTGAAGATATCAATCAACATACAATGATCCAGAACCAAATTGTCCCCTGTGTGTTGTAGAAATGGTCCGACGCTTTAGTGTGCTGTTGCACCCTTCTTGGTGAGCTGCACTGCTTCCGCCCAGATGAAACAGAGAATTGAAAATGCAATTTGCCTGCAGATTACATATCCTAACATGTTCTACTAATATACAGTGTACATAGTGCTACCTACAAGGCTACAAGTCAACAGATATTCCCAACAGCAGCTGGGAGTTGTTCCAATGTCACCATTGTTCCAGCACACCCTTCAGTGTTGTAACCCATGTATGTACAGCCCATATTCCTCTGGGATGCTCTCATGCTGAGAGCAAGCATTGCACTGAGGGCTCTTTCAGGAGCCCCTTCTGTGCGCCCTGCTGCTGCTGCTGCCTGGCCTCGCCTGCCTCTCATGCACCAAACCCTCTCTCCTCCCCGCCTGCTCCTTCAACCCCTCCCTGCCACACACGCCACTTGCCACTGCTCTGCCACCTGCTGCCTTCCCACCACCCTGCCTTCCACCTGCTGCCCTCCCTGCTGCTCCCTCCCCACACCCATCCCCCTCTCTCCTCTTCACCCCACTCGCCTGCCTGCTGCTGGCCTTGCCAGCTGCTTTCACTGCTGGCCTCCCCTTGCTGCTGCACCCATTCTTGCCCCATGCACTTTCAACCCCCACCTTGCACCTTGCTGAAACAGCAGGTCTTGAAACCTGTGCTGCTGCTGCAGCTCCTCTCACTGGTGATGCCAAAGCAGGTGAATTCATTAATGTTGTTGCTGCAGCTGCTACTGGTGCTGCTGCACATGGGGTACGCATTGGCTTCTGTACTATTGCTTCAGCTCCTCTCACTGCTTTTGTTTTTACTGCTGCAGATGGTGCAGAGGGAGCAGGTGCTGCTGCTACAGTCGCTGCTGCTGCAGATGCAAGAGGCACGGTTTTGGGAGTCAGATTCGCCACAACATCAGGATGCTTGGGCACGAAGCAGACACGCAGGGAGGCTTCAATGGCCGCTTCAATCTCCATGGCCCATGATGTCTCCTTGCTCAGCTTGTCCCACCTCAGGTAAGCAGCACGTGTCATTGCATTATCCATAGCTCGAACCTCCTGACGCAGCTTCGACCACCTCGCTTTCTCACTCGAATCAGCAGCACGTGCACTCGCTTCCTCGGATATTGATTCTGTGGTCACACTCGCTTCAGGCACCTGTGGTGTGGTTGAAGCCACTGGAGCCACAGGCGCTACCACAGCAGATGGTGTGACTGGAGCAGCAGTGACGACCACAGCTGCAAGCACGGCAGCAGCAGGCTTGCCTCCGAAGCGGCCGATTCCAGGCCGCTTCACGTCAGGTGCGTCAGGTACAACGTGCACCTTGGTGGGCTTGTGTTCGTCAGCGACGCCTTGGGAGGCCAGTTTCTCCAGCAGCGGCCTCACGCTCTTCAGAAGCACGCTGCTGGAGCATGTCTCAACGTCACCATTGCAAGCAGCAGGCTTGGCAGGAGAGTAGCTTACAGGCGAGAAAACGGTTCGCGGGGTTCCGAACCTGCCAATGCCTCTGGTAGGCGTTGCAGGATTGCTCGCCGAGTTGGAAACAGAGTTAACATTGCAGATATCGGCGAGGGAGGCCATGTTACTTGACTGCAGATCGCTGAACAGAAACTGATCGTTGGGCACAGGCTGATTTCTGAAAGTTTTTTCCACTGCAGATCGACAGAACAGCAGAGGAAGTGGGAATGATAAGTTCCATCCCCGGCGACTTCATTTCTACTGCACTCCCCCCTCGCCCGCTCAAAACCTCGCCTCCAAGCCTACACGCCCTCATCTGCCTGACCATTGAAGTTCCAGCCTCGGCGTGCCTCGCTGTCTACTCGTAAGCATGCCACGTCATACGAATCTGACGGTGTAGAAACTAGCAGCCAAGTGTCCGGATGGATCTCAAAGCGTCAATTTCTGGGGGTTCAGGTTCGGAAGGCTTGATGGAGCCGCGTCAGGCAAAATCAGCGGAGTGGGTGGTTCGGGGACACTCTCTCGTTGTCGGTGCGTTTCAGGTTCGCCATACCTCGAGGCGCCTCACCAGTTTCCCGCCATACTTTCGTCCTCGATTTTCCCGTAGCCGTTCCTGATACGCTTTGTTACGAAAAACAAAGGAAACAATTTTTTATTTCGCAAAAAAATTCGCGATCGCGCAAGCCCACGCGACGGGTCTAACGGGATATCGGAGAGTACGGTGGCTGTGAATTTGTAGAGCTGAGGGATTGGGTTGCTGCGGTGGTAGATTTGGATGAGGCATTGGGATTTACGTTTGTGGTGGGAAGAATCGAGGGGGAAGGCAGGATCTGTGTGTCCGCTCTATAAACAGTCTGTCCTAGCATCTGGCTCAAAGTCTTTGTGTATGGCAACGTTCATAAAACATTTGTGCTTGTTGGACACGAATTTGAGGTGTTCGCAAGGGAGGAAGTTCTTGCGGTACAAAGCGGTCTCACAATCAATCGGCGCGGTTCTGCGTGTTTCGACAATTGACGGATAACGCCAATCTTGGTGACAGAAGCAGTATCCTGCAGAACTCCAACAAGTGATTATGGGCGCACATGCGATTACGAGCGCGCACAAGCGAATACGAGCGAGCACAGGCGATTACGGGCGATATAAGCGAGTACGAGCGCGCACCAACGATTACGAGCGCGCACAAGCAATCACGAGCGCGCACAAGCGATTACGAGCGCGCAGAAGCGATTACGGGCGCGCACAAGCGATTACGAGCGCGCACAAGCGATTACGAGCGCGCACAAGCTATTACGGGCTATATAAGCGATTACGAGCGCGCACAAGCGATATCGAGCGCCCAGGCAATTACGATCCTTGGTCTGTTCACGAATCACGACCGAAATTAGTCGCACAAGTGATTACACCGATCGCACAAGGACCACTGTTCCAGGGATTCACGTTTGAAAAGCGATTTTCATGCTGCAGTCCCGCCGTTTGATGCTGGCGGGAAATGCGAATCCTCAGACCACCCTCGCCGTTCCCCGTTGGACAAGCGGGCATGGCGGAATGAGCGGACGGAGCGGAATGGCGGATACGGCGAAGAACAGAAGGCGATAGCGGCGATGGAGGCGAAAGGGGAGGAAGGAAGTTCTCACACGCCGTTTCCTCCTGTCGCGCGCTGATATGGCGGTACGCTGACGTGGCGGTGAGAGCGGCGGGAGATATGGGGTTTGGGGGACGGAAGGAGCGGGAGAGAGGGCGCTGGATGCGGAGAGGATGGAGGGAGCGGGAGAGACGAGAGGAGAGGGACGGGATGTCCAGGGGAGTATGCTGCGCAGTGGTGAGGGGAGAGAAGTATGCCTTCCTATTCTCCCCCAACCCTTTCCATTCTCCCCCATTCCCTCCCATTCTTCTCCCCATCCCCTCCCATTCTCCCCCATTCCCTCCCATTCTTCCCCATCCCCTCCCATTCTCCTCCATCCCCTCCCAATCTCCCCCATTTCTTCCCACTCTCCCCCATCCCCTCCCATTCTCCCCCATCCCCTCCCATTCTTCCCCATCCCCTCCCATTCTCCCCCGTCCCCTCCCATTCTCCCCCATTTATTCCCATTTTCTCCCATCCGCTCCTGTTCTCCCCCACCCCCTCCCATTCTCCCCCGTCCCCTCCCATTCTTCCCCGTCCCCTCCCATTCTTCCCCGTCCCCTCCCATTCTTCACCACCCCCTCCCATTCTCCCCCGTCCCCTCCCATTCTCCCCCATCCCCTCCCATTCTCCCCCGTCCCCTCCCATTCTCCCCCATCCCCTCCCATTCTCCCCCATCCCCTCCCATTCTCCCCCGTCCCCTCCCATTCTTTACCACCCCCTCCCGTTCTTTCGCAATCCCTCCATTTCAACCCATTCTCTCACTCACAGGCTGATTTCATCGCCGCACCTCTCCCCCGCCATCCTGTCAGAATCGCCGCCACCGGCAGGGAGGGAGGGACCATCTCGCACTTGGCATGTTTGCCATTCTGTCAGAATCGCTGCCACCGGCAACAAGGGAAGAACCATTTCTCATGTCAGCACGCTGGTATGCCATGCTTGCAGCCAGTCTGACACGTCAGCATGCTGCTATGCCATGTCAGCAGCGATGCCATGTTACGCAGGAAGTGAAAATTTCTGGCATGTGCTTTCTCCCCATTTGTTGATCGCCTGTGTTTCACCATGCCATGTGTGTGTGCTCTGAATCGTGCCATGAGTGTGTGTGCTCTGAATCGTGCCATGAGTGTGTGTGCTCTGAATCGTGCCATGAGTGTGTGTGCTCTGAATCGTGCCATGAGTGTGTGTGCTCTGAATCGTGCCATGAGTGTGTGTGCTCTGAATCGTGCCATGTGTAGAGTGCACCGCGTAGGAGTCGCCGCACTGTTGCACCCCATACTGGGAGGGAATTTTGTCGATTTAGTAAACTACCCTTTAAGTCATCATTCTTACTCAGGCTCTTGAATATAGCCGTCAATCCGTCAAGTCTTGTTCTATTTTTTTTGTTCTTTGCAACCTTCAATAATCCCTTGATGTCACACCACCATCCCATGTCCTCATACATACCATAGAATACTATCACACAAGCTGTCCCATGCTCTCACACACACCATCCCTTGCTCTCACACGCACCATTCCATGCCCTTAGACACACCATATCATGCAATCACACACAACATCCCATGGCCTCCTTCTTAAGATTTTTTTTTGTTTTGTTTTTTTTTTGTTTTGTTTTTTTTTTTTTTTCCGTGCAGTTCATCAACAGATCTTCTTGACAGTTTTTTTCTGGAGGGATCTGTTCATCTAAGGAAGTACTAAAACAAATGGTAGGGCAACACTTTTCTCCCAGTGTGAACTCTGGCTGGCGGTAGTGAAGGAGACTACTTGTTTTCCACTAAGTTCTATGCACACTCATTTGCCATCATCCACATTTATCCCTTGTCCCGCAGTACCCCATGAGCTGAGGCCTAATGTGGTGTGTGTGGGCGGCAACATTACCGGCCAGGTGTGCGTTCAGGTGTTGGTGGGGCAAGTGTGTGTGCTACAGAGGTAGCAGGACTGGTCAGTCAGTAGCCAAGCCCCATCACCCCTTGTTGCTCCAATCACCCCTTGTTGCTCCCATCACCCATTGCTGCTCCCATCACCCATTGCTGCTCCCATCACCCCTTGCTGCTCCCATCACCCCTTGCTGCTCCCATCATCCCCAGACATGGCTCCAGAATTGAATTGAGTCGACACAATTACCTTTTTCAAACAGACTTCAATATTGAAATATATTTTCTGTCTTCTGCGAGACCTCCCACCCACTATCACACCCATGTACCCATGTACTCTTTCACCCATGTCCACATGCACCCATGCACTCATGGTTCACATCAATCACATCAATCCCCTTTCATCCATGCACCCATTCTCCCATGCACCCATTCTCCCATGCACCCATGGCATGCAGGCTCTGCCCCCAACTGCCGCTGCTCATTCGCTGAGAGCTGGCCACTGCCAAGCTGCCACGTGAGCAGCCCCACCTGCAGTCGCACTGCAGTGGTGTCCCTGTATGCCCATGTGAATGCCACGGGAAGCTTGCCCATGGGCCATGGGAAGCACATGGGAAGCACATGGGAAGCATCCCTTCTCCCCATGCCCCATCCTTGTACATTGGCATGCAGTGAATCGAGTAGAGTTGGGTTTGTTTTCCCGAGTCGCCATTTGAGTCAGATTGAGCTGTATTGTCTTCAAGCCCACTCAGCCTGTTTTCTCCTTTTCTCTTTTTCCTTCGCTTTCGCTTTTGGCTGGGTGGTTGTTGCTACTGAAGTTCTCTTCTGTTTTTGGCTACCTCTTATTCCATCCCATCCCATCCCATCCCATCCCACCCCACCCCACCCCACCCCACCCCATCCCATCCCATCCCACCCCATCCCACCCCACCCCACCCCATCCCATCCCATCCCATCCCACCCCACCTCACCCCACCCCACCCCACCCCATCCCATCCCATCCCATCCCATCCCATCCCATCCCATCCCATCCCATCCCATCCCATCCCATCCCATATCACTTGTCATCGCAGTTGCCACCTCAGCAGCCATCTCACGTGCTCCTTCACTCCTCACCAGCAGGGCAGCTTGTTACCACCAATAGCTGGTTACCACCAATAGCTGGTTACCACCAATAGCCTGTTACCACCAATAGCCTGTTACCACCAATAGCTTGTTACCACCAATAGCCTGTTACCACCAATAGCCTGTTACCACCAATAGCCTGTTACCACCAATAGTTTGTTACCACCACAAGCCTGTTACCAACCAATAGCCTGTTACCACCAATAGCCTGTTACCAACCAATAGCCTGTTACCACCAATAGCTTGTTACCACCAATAGCTGATTACCACCAACATGCCCATTGGAAACGCGATCCCTCTCTCTGAGCTCCAAACCTCCTTCCGTCCTCTGCTTACCTTCACGCACCCCATCGCCTTCTCTCCCTTCACCCTGCTACCTCGCTTCCCTGTCCTCCCTGCTAGCCACTTCCTGTGTTCACTCCTCCCTCGCTTTCTTCATCCCCCCATGTGGGAAACGATCTCTTCACTCCACCAACACTCTGTTTCCTTGCTGCCTGCCATCCGAGGTTTTCAGTCACATCAATCCGCCCTATTCCTTGCTTCTGCTACTTGACCCTTTCTATTGCACCCATGCTCCCATGCACCCATGCACCCATTCAGCCATGCACTTATTCACCCATGAACCCATGTACCCATGTAAACACGTACCCATGCAGGCACAGATGAAGGTGAGTGTCGTCACGTTCAATACAGCAGCCGGGAGCTGTTCACAAGCTCTCAATCTACACTGCATGATCATCTGGGACCCTCTGCTCTTCAGATTTTCAATCAACATACATTGATCCAGTACCACAATGACCCGTAGTACAATCAGTGTGTAGTAGTACATTAGAGATGGTCCTGTGCTTTAGTGTGCTGCTGCACTCTTCTTGGTGAGCTGCACTGCTTCCACCCAGATGAAACAGAGACTTGAAAATGCAGTTGACTTGCAAATTACATGTCCTAACATGTTCTATTACAGTAATATACAGTGTACATAGTGCTACCTACAAGGCTACAAGTCATCACATATTCCCAACAGCAGCTGGGAGTTGTTCCATTGTCACCATTGTTCCAGCACACCCTTCAGTGTTGTACCCATGTATGTACAGCCCATATTCCTCTGAGATGCTCTCATGCTGAGAGCAGGCATTGCACTGAGGGCCTTTTCAGGAGCTCCTTCTGTGCGCCCTGCTGCTGCTGCAGCCTGGCCTCGCCTGCCTCTCATGCACCAAACCCTCTCTCCTCCCCGCCTGCTGCTCCAACCCCTCCCTGCCACACACGCCATTTGCCACTGCTCTGCCACCTGCTGCCTTCACACCTCCCTGCCTTCCACCTGCTGCCCTCCCTGCTGCTCCCTCCCCACACCCACCCCCCTCTCTCCTCTTCACCCCACTCACGTGCCTGCTGCTGGCCTTGCCAGCTGCTCTCACTGATGATGCAGCACATGGGGCAGAGCCTGCATGCGTGCTGGTGCCCTTGGCACCCTTCACACCCGCTCTGATCTCCTTGCTGCTGCAGCCATTATTGCCCTTCACGGTTTCACCACCCGCATTGCAACTTGCTGCAACAGCAGGTCTTGAAACCTGTGCTGCTGCTGCAGCTCCTCTCACTGGTGATGCCAAAGCAGGTGAATTCATTGATGTTGTTGCTGCACCTGCTACTGGTGCTGCTGCACACGGGGTACGAATTGGCTTCTGTACTATTGCTGCACCTCCTCTCACTGCTTTTGTTTTTGCTGCTGCAGATGCTGCAGAGGGAGCAGGTGCTGCTGCTACAGTCGCTGCTGCTGCAGATGCAGGAGGCACGGTTTTGGGAGTCAGATTCGCCACAGCATCAGGATGCTTGGGCACGAAGCAGACACGCAGGGAGGCTTCAATGGCCGCTTCAATCTCCATGGCCCATGATGTCTCCTTGCTCAGCTTGTCCCACCTCAGGTAAGCAGCACGTGTCATTGCATTATCCATAGCTCGAACCTCCTGACGCAGCTTCGACCACCTCGCTTTCTCACTCGGATCAGCAACACGTGCCTCCTCGGATATTGTTTCTGTGGTCACACTCGCTTCAGGCACCTGTGGTGTGGTTGAAGCCACTGGAGCCACAGGCGCTACCTCAGGCACCACCACAGGCGCAACCACAGCAGATGGTGTGACGGGAGCAGCATTGACGACCACAGGTGCGAGCACGGTAGCAGCAGGCTTGCCTCCGAAGCGGCCGATTCCAGGCCGCTTCACATCAGGTGCGTCAGCTACGTACGACTTAATGGGCTTGTGCTGGCCGTCAGCGAGGCCTTGGGAGGACGACGCATGCATGTGCATCGCCAGTTTCTCCAGCAGCGGCCTCACGCTCTTCAGAAGCACGCTGCTGCAGCACACCTCAGCGTCGCCGTTGCAAGCAGCAGGCTTGACAGGAGAGTACGCTGCAGGCGAGAATACGGTTTTAGGGGTTCCGAACCTGCCAATGCCTCTGGTAGGCGTTGCAGGACAGCTCGAGGTTTGAAAAGCAGAGTTAACATTGCAGTTATCAGCGTAAGAAGCCATGTTACTTTGGCTGCGAGGAGACTGTTGATAGCAGATTGCTGGAGAGAGGCTGATCGTTTCGATTGCTGGAAGGTTTGTTGACTGAAAATCGATAGAATGGCAGAGGAATGATAAGATCCAACCGTGACGACCTCTTTCTACTCTACTCCGCCCTCGGCTGCTCAACCCTTCGGCTCCACGCCCACATGCCTCCTCTGCCTGACCATTGGGGTACCAGCCTCGCCTCTGGAGAAAGTGTACAGCGACATCCTGTACAATCGCAAACCTGGACAAGGAGCATACAGCTACACCATCACGTTCATCGTCGCCGCCACTCGCTATGTCTGGCATCTCAACCTTCCAAGTCGCGACATGGCCTTCGAAGCCTTTGTTGCCTGGCTCCCAGTAGCAGAACGAGAATCAGGAGTTAAGCTAAAGAGCTTCCAGTCTGACGGGGGGGGAGAATACACCTCACAGAGGTTCAAGCAGTACTTGGCAGAGAGAGGCATCAAGCGGCTCATCTCCCTTCCATAAGCCCACCAACAGCAAGGCGTAGTAGAAAGGATGAACAGGACTCTCCAGAACACCATGCGCAAGCTGCTACGTGGCACGCGGCTACCCAACCACCAATGGCCCGAAGCAATGGACCACGCTATCATGCTGCACGACCTGCTCTCGTCATCATCGCTCCCGAACAACGCATCACCGCACCTGCTGTGGACAGGAAAACAGGGCAGCACAAAAATGTTGAGAGTTTTCGGCTGCATGGTACAGTTTCGACCCCCAGCTGCACGAGCCGGCCGATTCTCCCAACGCGCACAGTGGGGCCTATACATGGGCATTGAAAAGAATTGCAACGCGTGGAAGATTTTCGACGTCCACTCAAAGGAAACAGTAACAGCACGTGATGTCATTTTCTACGAGCGACTCACACTTCCGACAAGAAGCTGCAACCTCAACATTAACCACACACAAAACACAGTGTGCATGCTCCATTTGACACACTATTTACACACAACTCAAGCAGCGTTGGCAGATGGCACAACACCCAGCGTAACTAACCATTTCTGGGTATCCCCTCAGCCTGCACTGGTTCAACCAGCAATCTTGGTCTTTGGCTTGCGAAGCAGATCCTCCAGGTGCAGCGCGTTGATCTTGGCTGCCAGCACAAAGTCGTTCTCATGCAGCCCACCTGCAAGGACGGGAGGGAAGTGGTCAGGGTGAGCTGAGAGCATCCACGAGCTGACGATGAACACAAGCTACTACTGACCACATTGGCTTATGTGAAGCTCCACATATCATGCTCGCGGTCTAGGCAGGGCTTCACTGTAGCGATGTGATGTTAGTGTGTGAGGCGTACCGATGGCGTGTGTGTAGATGTCGATGCGCGCATGGTTCCATCCTTCCAAGTGGAGGTCGGGATGATGACCTGTAGGCCACATAGCATGCAATCCACACGCACCCACAAACAGAAAGCATGGAACACACCAACCAAGGATGTGAGGCACATGGAGGCAAGTGCGGCGGAAACACAATGGAGTCAAATGATTTTCCTCACCGCACTACACTCCACCATTCATGCCACAACTTAACTGTGCCGAATCTCTTCCTAACAAGGCACATCCTTGGGCAAGGTCGTGCTGTAGGGCGGGTTCGAAATTAGAGGTGCAGCACTTCTTGTGTGAAACGTCGCACTGAACATGCTCAGACATAAGCACAAAACAGGAAATTAAGTTGAGCCCGAGCTTAACCGTTTCTTCACAGGCCACCCCAGTCTTTTTACTGCACAGATTAGCCAATGTCCAGGATTCATCTCAGCACCCACCTACCTTCCGCCTCTTAAGGAAGGAGCAGCACCCACCTTCGGCCTCGGCAACCTCTGCAACGCGCTGAAAGAGAGTGAGGCCAGCGAGGAAGTTCCGCGTGCGCCACTGCCGGCGAATGCGCTGGTAGCCGCCCTCCTCCACCACCTCCCACCCCGCCACCTGTCGTGCGCACCGCACAGCACCAGATGCGGAGAACTTTCTGTTTCATGACAGAGACAAGACTCATCAAATGCAAGAAATACGCTAAAACTCTATTGAAAATATAAATAAAATATATATCCCACAAGACACAGACATGTATATGATAAGCAATTGTGTTTCTGATGCAAAAGCAGGAGCAGGGAGGCGAGACGAGGAGCAACGCGTTGCATTTGGGAGGGGGACAATGGAGTGACGATAGAGTGGTGATGAAGGTATTGCGGAGGCCAGGTGCATGCACCACACAGCAGCGGGTGCAGCACACATGCTGTCAGCAGAAGGCAGCAGGCTGAGAGCAAGAGAATGTGCTGCACATGCACGAAGAAAGAGAAAGGCTGAGAAACGTGCACGTGACACAGCCCACACCAGCACATGAACGTGGGCTGCACATCTCAGCCGCATCTCAGCACCCAGCATGAGCCCAAATCAGCACATGAACGTGCGCCCCCAGCATCCAGCCGCATCTCAGTGGACACCTGGGTCGTGCATGTAGGGAAAAACGACGTAGTAGCTATCTCAGCTGTAGCAGCTGTAGCAGCGCCCACCTGGTGTAGCAGAGTGGCGATGCGGTCAGCGGGCAGTGGCAGCAGCCCCTTGCCCTCACACGGCACACAGCGCCGACTCGCCAATGGTGCTGAGCATGGGAGAGAGGGAGGAGGGGAGATGAACGAGTGGGTGGATGGGGCATTTTGAGACGTCTCAAAACTCTACTCTTATCAGCGGGCAGCGGCAGCAGCCCCTTGCCCTCACACGGCACACAGCGCCGACTCGCCAATGGGGCTGAGCATGGGAGAGAGGGAGGAGGGGAGATGAACGAGTGGGGGGGTGGGGCATTTTGAGACGTCTCAAAACTCTACTCTTATCAGCGGGCAGCGGCAGCAGCCCCTTGCCCTCACACGGCACACAGCGCCGACTATCCAAAGGAGCTGGGGGAGGAAGAGGGGAGATGAACGAGTGGGGGGGATGGGATGGGGGAAGGTGGGTGATACGCGAGTGGGGGACGAGGGGAAGAGGGAGATGGGCGAGGGGAGAGGGGAAGCGATAGGGGCGGGGAAGGGAGATGAAGACAGTGGGTGGCGAATGGGTGAGGGGGCGGGTGGAGTAGGGAGGCCGGGAGACGAAAAGAGGGGGAAGCAAGAACTTCCTCAGCGGAGGTTACTACTGTTCCCCACCGCTTCTCAATACGCCCCAGAACTCACCCCCGCTCCCCACCGTTCCCCACCGCTCACCTTCCTCCGAGCTGCTGGTCATCTCCGCGTTGGACGGCGACGTCGCCATGGTCGCAACGCCACGTGGCTTTTCACTACGGCCGGCGGCGGGGCACGCGGCGGCGGTAGAGCGCGGGCGGGCGGTGTGGGGGAGGTACGACTGGGGGAGAATAAAGTGGGGGAGGCACGCGCGGGGGAGGCGAGCGGTGGTGGCGAGGGCGCGCGGGCAGGCGAGGGAGGAGGACGCGATGAAGTGAGCGGCGAGGGCCATCAAGGGACGGAGGTGGGGCGGAACGAGAGAGGCAGGGAGAGAGCGAGAGTAAGCGAGTGGGAGCGGCGCAGCGGACGAGGTGATGCGCTACGACGGAGCGTGCATGGGATGGAATAGGATGGCGAGTGGGCGTGGAAAATCGGAATGCGGAGAGGCAAGGGCTGGAGAGAGCATGAAGTGGCCCTTGGAATCTGAGCGACAGCCTACCGCGCTTGAAAGACACCACGCGAACCAGGTGGGGCTCGTCACTTTCAAGAAGGGCGCAAGCCGATGTGACTGACGTGCATCTCTTCTCAGATGCGTGGACGTGACGTGGCGTGACGGGTCCGATGTGGTGTGTGGAGAGGAATGTGCTGTACCGAGGATGGTTTACTATGGCGCGTGTGTTGGAAACAGCGTTACGTGTAGATGAGTTGAAAGAAAAACCGCATTTCTCCAGAATACTAGTCTCCAACATAATCAGCTGCCAACACTTGTCATTCCTATCAGATATAGGCCATGATAGACGAGCCATGCTTATTGCTCGCCGGAAATATCTTATCCAGTTTATAATCACGTGAGCCACCACGCAGCAAGCATGGTGTTTGCCACGTCTCACCATACAAAGGAGTAACTGAATCGAATCACCCATTGAAAATTTATTCCCACTGCTACACAGCTCAATCTTACTCCCCCTTTCTGAAACCCACGCCTACGCCCACCCTCCTCTGCACCCACTGCACCCTCTGCACCCTCCTCTGCACCCTCCTCTGCACCCTCCTCTGCACCCTCCTCTGCACCCTCCTCTGCACCCTCCTCTGCACCCTCCCCTGCACACTCCTCTGCAGTCCCAACTGCATCCTCCCCTGCACACTCCACTACAGCCCCCTCCTACCCCTCCTTTCCAGGGCTAGCAGCACTAGACGGTGTCCGTCCACTCCCCCCTCCCTTACTCTCCTCCCCTCCCACCCATGCACTCAGCCCCCCCGAGCCTCGCCTCCACAGGCCCCCCACAGCGCCTCCCGACCCCTCATCTGATCCTTTGCGCCCAAACAGCCTCAGAGGGCTGCCCCCAGGGCTCCTGCCCGTGGCTGACAGGTCGGCACACGGTGCTAAGGGACCCGAGCCTGAGGAGGTTCGGAGAGGGGAGGCCCGGCCTTGGAGCGCCTTGCTTAGGCTGCTGCTGCTGCTGCCAGTGGTGCTGGTGTTGGTGGTGGCGGTGGTTGCGGCTGCTGGAATCGGGATGCTGCTGCTGCTGCCGCTGCTGCTGTTGGAAAGGGGTTGTGGGAGGGTAGAGAGAGACGTGTTGCTCCCACTAGCAGCACCAGCAGCAGCAGCAGCAGCAGCAGCAGCAGCAGCAGCGGGCGCAGCGGCGGCGACAGCAGTAATGCTGCTGCTGCTACTGCTGGCACTGGTCTTGCTCTTGCTGCTGCCGCCACTGGTGTTCCGAAAGGGCCAGAAGTTGACGATGCGCTCAAAGACGGTGCCCTTGAGGAAGAGGCCGGAGAAGCCCTGTGGCTGCACGGGCGGCGGGAAGTCTTCGGGCGGCATGGCAAAGGGATGCAGCATGCGGTCCATGCGGCGCATGGTGAGCGTATCGGGTGCATCGTTCTGCACTGTGAAGGGCGGGAGGACTGGCAATGTGTGGTCCTTCTTTGCTGGCTCCACCTGCAGTTGGGGGGAGAGGATGGAGGAGAGGAACGAAAGGGATTGGGTGAAGTGTGGCGCAGCATCTGGGCCTTCTTGTATGGCTGCACCTGCTATGGGAGATGAGGGATGCATGAGAGGAGCATGGGGGATGCAGCATGCGGTCCATGCGGCGCATGGGGAGTGTGTCGGGTGCATCGTTCTGCACCGTGAAGGGTGAGAGGACTGGTAGAGTGGGGCCGTCCTTTGCTGGCTCCACCTGCCGTGGGGGGAGAGGATGGAGGAGAGGAGCGTGAGGGGGTGGTTTGGGTGAAGTGTGCTGTAGAGTGTGGTTTCTTCTTTTTCTTCATTTTTAATGGCTCCACCTGTCGCGGGAGATGAAGGATGGATGAGAGGAGCATGGGGGATGCAGCATGCGGCACTTTCCACCCATGGTGAGCGTGTCGGGTGCATCGTTCTGCACCGTGAAGGGCGGGAGGACTGGCAATGTGTGGTCCTTCTTTGCTGGCTCCACCTGTGGTTGTGGGGAGAGGATGGATGAGAGGAACGAAATGAATTGAATGAAGCGTGTTGTAGAGTATGATCCTTCTTTGATCGCTCCCAAGTGTCGTGGGGGAAGAACATGGAGGAGGGGAGTGTGGTGAGGCAGAACCGGCAGCATGGGAATGAGTGGAGCAAGAGGGAGCCAATGAGCTGTGCTGCATGCGTGGTTCGAGTGGTTGGCACAGGCAGCATATGATGGGTGGTCGGCCAGGTGGTGTTGTGTGATGAGTGTCGCACCAGGTGCGCAGAAAACAAAGGGCCCAGCAGCCAACGACTCACCTCCAGAGGGCTCACGGCCGACCCTGGGCTGAACATGATCTCCACTCGGAATCGCCGCGGGTCGTTCAGATCCACCTGATGGGCCGGAGAAAGAGGCGAGATGGGGGGAAGGTTGGAGTGAAAGCATCAGATGAGCTGCGGGTAAGCACGGTGTGAAAGGGTAGGGTAGAGTGGGAATATTTACAGGAATAAGAAGGGAGAGCGAGGGCGAGGGTAGAGGAAGGAAGTGGAAGAATGGGGAAAAGGAGCACTAGAGCGGACAGCGTACCTCGACGTTCTCATACATGCGCAGCACGACATGCGTGAGGTAGTCGAGCAGCAGTGCCTCGAATGGGCAGAATGCAAGAGTGGCTGGGATGAAATGGAAGGATAAACGGGCATGCAGGGCGCATACCTCGACGTTTTCAAGGGAATGGGGCATGCTGGTCACCCACCTCCACGTTCTCATACATGCGCAGCACCACATGCGTGAGGTAGTCGAGCTCGCGCGTCTCATAGAGGCGCGTCATGGCGTCGGGACTCAGCAGCGACGCCTCGCCCTGCAGTGACTCGTCCAGCTGGCAGAAGCGCAGCACGTTCATCACACTGTGTAGGTGCGACTCCTGTTGGGTGGGTGGGTGGGTGGGTGGGTGGAAGGAAGGGCGGATAGATTCCCGTCACCGTCTCAAAGGCCCAGCTGGCAGAAGCGCAGCACGTTCATCACACTGTGTAGGTGCGACTCCTACAAGGTGGGGTTGGGTGTGTGAGTGGGTGATTGGATGGGTGGGTGGGTGGGGTGGGTGGGAGGAAAAGCTGATTGATGTATGCGCGGGGGAATTGGTGGGTAGAGAAACCTGTCATGACTCAAAGGCCCTGCTGGCAGAAGCGCAGCATGTCCGTCACACTGTGTAGGTGCGACTTCTGTGGGGGGGCGTGGGTCGGTGGAGGGTGATTGACGGATGGATGAATGGGTGAGTGGCAGATATGAGACGTGAGTGGCAGATATGAGACGTGAGTGGCAGATATGAGACGTGAGTGGCAGATATGAGACGTGAGTGGCAGATATGAGACGTGAGTGGCAGATATGAGACGTGAGTGGCAGATATGAGACGTGAGTGGCAGATATGAGACGTGAGTGGCAGATATGAGACGTGAGTGGCAGATATGAGACGTGAGTGGCAGATATGAGACGTGAGTGGCAGATATGAGACGTGAGTGGCAGATATGAGACGCGAGTGGCAGATATGAGACGTGAGTGGCAGATATGAGACGTGAGTGGCAGATATGAGACGTGAGTGGCAGATATGAGACGTCTCAAACTCCAACTGGCAGAATTCTCACAAGGCGTACACATGTGAAGCAGAGGAGAGCTGTGAGTCAACTCAGAACTCACCTCACGCACAACCCAGAAGAGGTGTGGGGCTTACAGAGGTGAAGTATAGGCGAGTGCGCACATGGCGCTGGGGCGTTCGAACGTTGGCATACCTGCAGCCAGGCAGCCACGGGGCAAGGGCAAGGCCACACAGCAGCAAGGGCGCTGATTAGAGTCACACGTTCTGAACCTGCAAGGGCGCTGATTAGAGTCACACGTTCTCATGCGCATTCTAAACCAGCTAGCCCGACCTTCCATGCAATCACTTGGGTCGAACCACTACCTCACGTTGCTGTCCCAATATTGCGAAATCTCATCCGTACATATTCAATGCACGCACATGGCATTCAATGCACGCACATGGCATTCAATGCACGCACATGGCATTCAATGCACGCACATGGCATTCAATGCACGCACATGGCATTCAATGCACGCACATGGCATTCAATGCACGCACATGGCATTCAATGCACGCACATGGCATTCAATGCACGCACATGGCATTCAATGCACGCACATGGCATTCAATGCACGCACATGGCATTCAATGCACGCACATGGCATTCAATGCACGCACATGGCATTCAATGCACGCACATGGCATTCAATGCACGCACATGGCATTCAATGCACGCACATGGCATTCAATGCACGCACATGGCATTCAATGCACGCACATGGCATTCAATGCACGCACATGGCATTCAATGCACGCACGCACATGGCATTCAATGGCTGGATCTGGCCAGGCCAGTACTGTGCGTTGCTGCCATCATTGTTAAAAAGCTTCAACTCTTCATCATCACCACACTCACTTGGGGTCCAAGCGGTACTGAGCGTTGCTGTCGTCATTATCGCCCTCCGGGTGCCCATCGGAGCGCCGCTTGGCCTCACCGGACGACCGGCGGTTCTGCCGCTGCTGCTCCTGGTTGAACACCGCTGCCGCCACCGCTGCTGCTCGCTGCTCCCTCAGGCTCTGGCGGTGCTGCTGCATGGCCTGCCCCACCGCCACCGCCTCGTCCCGCGTGTTGTGTAGATCGATCAGCATCTTGCCCAGCAGCCGCCGCGCCACCTAACAGGCAGGGAAAGATGGGGGGGAAGGGGAGAGGGGGGGAGGGGAGGAGGTAGGCGGAGTTGAGGGGCACATGAACTGTCATTGTCACGTGTGTTGTTCAGATCGATCAGCATCTTGCCCAGCAGGCGCCGCACCACCTGAAGGGCGAAGAGGGGGAAGAAAAAGGGGGCGAAGGGTGAGAGAGGGAGTTTGGCGGACTTGAGGACCACTGACACCGCCTCGTCCCGCTTGTTGTTCAGATCGATCAGCATCTTGCCCAGCAGGCGCCGCACCACCTGAAGGGCGAAGAGGGGGAAGAAAAAGGGGGCGAAGGGTGAGAGAGGGAGTTTGGCGGACTTGAGGACCACTGACACCGCCTCGTCCCGCTTGTTGTTCAGATCGATCAGCATCTTGCCCAGCAGGCGCCGCACCACCTGAAGGGCGAAGAGGGGGAAGAAAAAGGGGGCGAAGGGTGAGAGAGGGAGTTTGGCGGACTTGAGGACCACTGACACCGCCTCGTCCCGCTTGTTGTTCAGATCGATCAGCATCTTGCCCAGCAGGCGCCGCACCACCTGAAGGGTGAAGAGGGGGAAGAAAAAGGGGGCGAAGGGTGAGAGAGGGAGTTTGGCGGACTTGAGGACCACTGACACCGCCTCGTCCCGCTTGTTGTTCAGATCGATCAGCATCTTGCCCAGCAGGCGCCGCACCACCTGAAGGGCGAAGAGGGGGAAGAAAAAGGGGGCGAAGGGTGAGAGAGGGAGTTTGGCGGACTTGAGGACCACTGACACCGCCTCGTCCCGCTTGTTGTTCAGATCGATCAGCATCTTGCCCAGCAGGCGCCGCACCACCTGAAGGGCGAAGAGGGGGAAGGAAAAGGGGGCGAAGGGTGAGAGAGGGAGTTTGGCGGACTTGAGGACCACTGACACCGCCTCGTCCCGCTTGTTGTTCAGATCGATCAGCATCTTGCCCAGCAGGCGCCGCACCACCTGAAGGGCGAAGAGGGGGAAGAAAAAGGGGGCGAAGGGTGAGAGAGGGAGTTTGGCGGACTTGAGGACCACTGACACCGCCTCGTCCCGCTTGTTGTTCAGATCGATCAGCATCTTGCCCAGCAGGCGCCGCACCACCTGAAGGGCGAAGAGGGGGAAGAAAAAGGGGGCGAAGGGTGAGAGAGGGAGTTTGGCGGACTTGAGGACCACTGACACCGCCTCGTCCCGCTTGTTGTTCAGATCGATCAGCATCTTGCCCAGCAGGCGCCGCACCACCTGAAGGACGAAGAGGGGGAAGAAAAAGGGGGCGAAGGGTGAGAGAGGGAGTTTGGCGGACTTGAGGACCACTGACACCGCCTCGTCCCGCTTGTTGTTCAGATCGATCAGCATCTTGCCCAGCAGGCGCCGCACCACCTGAAGGGCGAAGAGGGGGAAGAAAAAGGGGGCGAAGGGTGAGAGAGGGAGTTTGGCGGACTTGAGGACCACTGACACCGCCTCGTCCCGCTTGTTGTTCAGATCGATCAGCATCTTGCCCAGCAGGCGCCGCACCACCTGAAGGGCGAAGAGGGGGAAGAAAAAGGGGGCGAAGGGTGAGAGAGGGAGTTTGGCGGACTTGAGGACCACTGACACCGCCTCGTCCCGCTTGTTGTTCAGATCGATCAGCATCTTGCCCAGCAGGCGCCGCACCACCTGAAGGGCGAAGAGGGGGAAGGAAAAGGGGGCGAAGGGTGAGAGAGGGAGTTTGGCGGACTTGAGGACCACTGACACCGCCTCGTCCCGCTTGTTGTTCAGATCGATCAGCATCTTGCCCAGCAGGCGCCGCACCACCTGAAGGGCGAAGAGGGGGAAGAAAAAGGGGGCGAAGGGTGAGAGAGGGAGTTTGGCGGACTTGAGGACCACTGACACCGCCTCGTCCCGCTTGTTGTTCAGATCGATCAGCATCTTGCCCAGCAGGCGCCGCACCACCTGAAGGGCGAAGAGGGGGAAGAAAAAGGGGGCGAAGGGTGAGAGAGGGAGTTTGGCGGACTTGAGGACCACTGACACCGCCTCGTCCCGCTTGTTGTTCAGATCGATCAGCATCTTGCCCAGCAGGCGCCGCACCACCTGAAGGGCGAAGAGGGGGAAGAAAAAGGGGGCGAAGGGTGAGAGAGGGAGTTTGGCGGACTTGAGGACCACTGACACCGCCTCGTCCCGCTTGTTGTTCAGATCGATCAGCATCTTGCCCAGCAGGCGCCGCACCACCTGAAGGGCGAAGAGGGGGAAGGAAAAGGGGGCGAAGGGTGAGAGAGGGAGTTTGGCGGACTTGAGGACCACTGACACCGCCTCGTCCCGCTTGTTGTTCAGATCGATCAGCATCTTGCCCAGCAGGCGCCGCACCACCTGAAGGGCGAAGAGGGGGAAGAAAAAGGGGGCGAAGGGTGAGAGAGGGAGTTTGGCGGACTTGAGGACCACTGACACCGCCTCGTCCCGCTTGTTGTGCAGATCGATCAGCATCTTGCCCAGCAGGCGCCGCACCACCTGAAGGTGGGGCAAAGGGGGGGAAGGATGAGGGGAGGGGTAGGGGGTTTGAGGGGCACATGCACATGCTGCGCCTGTGTGTTGAATAGGCACAGCATCTTGCCCAGCAGCCGCCACGCCACATGCTCTGGGGGGAACTTGTGAGGGAGGAGAGTGGGGAGGCAGCAGAAGGAAGGTAGGAATATAGGTTTGTGGGGCATGTTGGAAGGCGTGTGGAGTGGAGTGAGGGGCACGTGATGAGCACCTTCTGGGTTGCTCATGAGGCCTGGCGCCTGAACGTGCACTGTACCACATACCGTGCTGTGCTGTGTTGGACTGAGAAACACTGGACGAACGCACGTGGGCACGGACGGCAGGAGTGCAAGGGAGGGACTGACCTTGGCGCCTATCTTGAGCTTGCTGTATGGCGTGATGCCATACTCATTGGGAATGACGCCGTTCGCCATCTCCTGCAGGTGCCGCAGTGGTGGAATGGTGCAGGGATGATAGCGCGAGGGGTTAAGGAGTGAGTTGATTAGTCGGGTTGGGTGGAAAAGAGGAGCTGGTGTTGCACTGGAGTTTTTTTTTTTTTGTTTTTTTTTGGGGAGGAAGGACGCAAGCAGAGAGATGTTTTGCAGCAAGTATAAGCAAGATGCAAGCGACACGATTGGTAGGAGGGTGAGCCGCATGGCAGACAGGCATGGATATGATTTGCAATGGACCAACATGTGAGATGCATGGCGGACCAACATGTGAGATGCATGGCGAACCAACATGTGAGATGCATGGCGGACCAACATGTGAGATGCATGGCGGACCAGGCGTAACCAGGCGAGAATAATGCCCGCAGAGGCAAGGTGTGCGCAGTGTGGTGGGGCGGAGAAACACGCAACGTGCAAAGCGCAGCTTCGGGCAGCAGCGGGCAGCAGCACAAATCACGTGCCTTGGCGAGCAGGTAGAGCTCGTCCAGCCCCTTGAGGCCCAGGTGGCGATTGTGCACCAGGTCGTACCTGGGGGAGGGCACGTGTGGGCACGAGTGGTGTGGGCGTGTGTGGAGTGGGCATGTGGGGAGTGGGCATGTGGGGAGTGGGCATACACGCATGCGCATGATGCGTGAGCTGGGAGTGTATGTCTGCAGGGAAGCGAGAGCCTTGCAATGGGTCAGGTCAGTTTGCCTCGTAGGACCGACAAGGCAAAAAAAAGGGGCCCCTTGGTTAAATTGGCCCAAACGGGGGTTCGGGGGTGGATAGGTGGCTGTGTGTGCACGCGCACGCATGTGTGTGCGTGTGCGTGTGCGTGTGCGTGTGTGTGTGTGTGTGTGTGCGCGCGCGCGCACGTGTGCGTGCGTATGCGTGTGTGTGTGTGTGCGCGCGCGCGCGCGCGTGTGCGTGCGCGCGTGCGTGTGTGTTTGTGTGTGTGTGTATGTGTACGTGTGAGTGTCTGCGTGTGCGTAGGTGTGTGTGAGTGTGTGTGTGTGTGTGTGTGTGATTGTGAGTGTGTGTGGGTGTGAGTGAGTGAGTGTGTGTGTGTGTGTCTGCGGGTGGGTGTGTCAAGAGAGAGTGTATGCATGTGTGTGTGTAACTGTGTGCGTGCGCAAGTGTATGCATGTGTGTGTGTAGGTGTGTGTGAGAGCGTGCGTGTGAGCGAGTGTGTGCATGTGTGTGCGTGTGTGTGCGTCTGTGTGCATGTGTATGCGTGTGTGAGAGTGAATGTGTGTGTGTGCGTGCGCGCGCATGTGTGTGTGTATGTGAGCATGTGTGTGTGTGCGTGTGTGGACAAGCCACAGTGCAACACACATGGCAGAGTCGTAGACGTCGGGGATTTTGCTGATGTTGAAACCTGCGTGCGTGCATGTGTGTGTGTGTGTAAGTGCGAGCGTGTGTGGGCAAGACACGAAACCACCCACTTGGCAGAGTCGTAGACGTCGGGGATCTTGCTGATGTTGAAGCGACTGGAGGGAACAGCGGGATGAGGGCGGAGAAAAGGAGACAGCATGGGGAGGAGAGAGAGCGCTGGTGAGACAGCAAAGAGAAGCGAAGAACAGAGCACGAGAGAGCTGAGTTGTCCCCATCGCTCCGTTGCCCCTTTCAACACCCACCCTCTTTTCGTCCGTGCTGCCATAGACGTCCGTTCAATACCTGCCAATCGCCCCAACCGACCCACGCTCATTCCACCCCTCACACTCACTCCCTCCCACACACTCCATCCCTCCCACACACACTCCCCCTCCCCCACCACACTCACTCCTTGCGGGGGTTGTAAATATCGCGCTCAAGCTTCTTCCACCGCGCAAAAATGAGCAGAAACTCCTCCGTACCGCACGGCAGCCCGGCGGCAATGCGGCTCTCATCAAACCGTGCCTTCCCCAGCACCGTCCCATCGTACGGCACCGCCTTCTGCTTCCCTCCCCCCTGCTGCGCCCCGCCCTGCTCCTCCCCCGCACCCTTCTGCTGCTGCTCCCCGCCAGCCTTGTGCTGCGCCGGCACGGGCACGATGCGAAGCTTCTTGACAGCTTCCTCCACCTTGGCCTCCAGTGCGCCGTCCACGTCGTCCTCGCGGCACTTCTCCTTGGCGTGCGCTGCCAGCGCCTTTATCAGCTCCACCTGGGGGAGAGCGGATAGGATGAGAATGCGAGGGGGAGGGAAAGAGCGAGAGACACTCACAACACAATCTCCTCGATCAGGTCCACCAGGGGATAATGGCATGCAGGGCACGGGAGGCAGTAGTGGGAGAGACACACGCAGTGCTGGCGCTTTATTTCAGCACCACCTGCATGGATGGAGGGCACAGGTGGGGAGCCAGAAAGGGTGCGAATGAGGAAGCGAGGGGGGAGGAGTAAGAGGGAGAGGCACAAGTTGGCACCACGTTGATAAGATGAACCAGGCATACTATGAGAGGGCGTGCTTGGGGGGAGAGGGTGGAAAGGGAATTGGTCTGGACTGGAAGTGTGCCTCTGTGCACTGAGCAATGTGCGTCACTCGTGATGCATGACCAAGTGCAGCGAGTGAGATGAGTGCATGGGATGGCATGGCAGAGCGAGAATGGATAGGTGGGCGTGTGAGTGGACAGCCACAAAAGCCCTAACAGACGATATTTTAAGGTACGTGAGAGATATTCCGAATGACAGGAGCAACGAGAGAACGTGGAAGAAAGGGCAAAGGGAATTGGTCAGTGATATTGGCACACACACACACACACACCCCCCACAACCCCCCTCTCCTCTCCCCCTCCCCTCTCCACACGCACCAGTTTCTGCAGTTTCTGCCCCCTCCTCCCCCTCACACACGCACCAGTTTGTGCAGCTTGCTGAGAGGGCGGTCAGGCAGCCAGGGCGCATCAGTCATCCACGGGCCAGCCAGCTGGGCTGACGACCCCCCGTGGCTGCTGCTGGTGCTGCTGCTGCGCGAGTGCGAGCGTGACTGCGAAGGCCGGCGCGGGCTGTGTGCCATGGGGGGCTGGCCGTGTGTGGGTGAGAGCACCATCGGGTCGTTGGTCGTCATCATCTCGCCCAGCTTGCGCTGTGGGGGGGAGAAGAAAAAAGAGCGTGAACAGGAGTTGGTTGGAAGGGATTAAAGATAAAGGAGAGAGTAGGTTAGGGCTGTGCAGCCTCACGCAAGGCTGCTTGCTTCTAGGTGATAGCAGGTGGACGGGGGTCCATGGGTGGTTGGTGGTCTATCTTGAGCTGTGGTGAGGGGGAGAGGGAGAAAGGATTGGGAGAAGAGACGAAAACAAAGGCACATACCCGGAAACAGTGACGAAACATGAGAGGACGAGGTGGCTGGGAAGATGATAGGAGCATAATGGACTGATAGATCTTAGGTGATGTTGTTAGTGAGACTAGCTTAGAGTAGTGCAACGTAAAGGATTCTGAAACATCAATCGAATGCATGAGTGTAGCGGCTCGATGGACTCTCACCTTGGCATGCTCCATTTCAATTGAGGCGGAGTCGAGCCCGTCAAGCATGGGCGAGTCCTTGCTCACCAGACTCACCTGCATGGTCACACATGAGCACACGCACGTGGATGCATACATGCATGCATACATGTGTGCACGCGCATGCACAAACGCATGCACATCCATGCGAAGACATGCAATGGCGCATGGATAAAGTTGCATTGAAACAGTGCAGAGAGAAGCACGGTGAGGAAACTAGAGAGGAGAAGAATCTGTGGTAAGTGAAGGTTGTGGAATAGAGAGTGCAAATAGAGAGTGTGAAAGTGCAGGCGGGCAAGGGAGGAGGGCGGGAAGCAGGAGTGACGCCCACCAGGATAGGCGTGAGCTGCCCCTCCAGGTCCAACAGACCCTTGGTGAACGCTGCTGCTGACATCTGCACACGGAGGCGAGGAGGCACGGCGGCAGGGAGGCAGGGGGAGGCAGGGAGGCACGCATGAGGGGGAAAACACGAGAGAGGTGGCTCGAACAGTTTTAGTAGCTGGCTGCCCCTCCAGGTCCAGCAGACCCTTGGTGAACGCTGCTGCTGACATGTACACAGGGAGACACAGGGGCAGGCATGCAGGAATGAGGAGCAAGACACGAGTGAGAGGCAGCACCGCACGGACACTTTTACTAGCTGCTTATTTAACCGTCTTCTTCCTTTCCTTGGACCACCAAGGCTGGCGATGCCGCCACCTCGTTGCCTCGGTCAGCAGAGCCGACTATCCTTCCCATGCACCCATGTGCACCACCTGCTCGCCTGCCCCCAATCTCTCACCTGCCCCCAAGCCCCCACTTGCCCGCAAATCCCCCCAACTGCCTGCAAGCCTCCAATGAGGAACTGGACACTGGGCACCCTCCACTCGCCACCGGGCAGTTTTATAACAAACTCAGGTGTCTCTAATTAAACAGAAACACTGTCAAAAGCACCTCAATTTTGAGGCGCCTCAACACTCACCCGCCATCGGGCACAGGACAACCGCAGCGTGATGAATTGACCATGAGGCGCCTCAACAACAACCATGCTGTCATTCTGGATACACCATCTGACATCCACCTTCCTCCTCCCCACACCCTTTTTCCAACCACCCAATACCCGCCCTTGAATGAGTCAGCTGCTGAGCCATCAACATCTCACCTGCCATAAACACCCCAACCGCACGCAGCCCTCATTGGAGCTGTAGATGTTGAGGTCGTGGATAGAGGTGCGTGCTGTGCTTTGAGTCGAACCGAAACCCCTCCTGCACTGACCGCCCACCCACCTGCCCTGCCACCAGTGCCCACCTGCACGCGGCCCTCATCGGAGCTGTAGATCTTGAGGTCGTGGCGGTACGTGCTGTGCAGACGCAGCAGCCCCGTGCCGTTGGACCCCATCTCATCTGCCGGGATGCAAGGGGGGGAGTGCGGAGAGCGCGAGGGGGGGGGGGGTGGGGGGGGGGGGAGGGAGGAAAGGGGGTGCCGGGGAGCAAGGGGAAGTGAGAAGAGGGGGGAGGAGAGGGGGAATTGCTATTTGAGATGCCTCACAAGCGTGCTGTGCAGGCGCAGAAACCCCGTGCCGTCTGACTTCATTTCGTCTGCCGGGATGGTGGGGGTGACGAGGAGTGAGTAGAGGGGACGGGAGCAAAGGGAAGTGAGGAGAAAAGGGAGAGGAGAGGGCGATGTGAAAGCGGGGAGAGGGAAGAGTGAAAGCTGGCCTGAATATGCATGCATCGGTCACGTTTGCATGCATGCACTACATGATCCAGGTGGCATGAATTTACGCTCATTGCATGCATGATGCATCACCGTACCAACATGCATGCCCTTACCAGGATACATGGCTTCTCGAAATGCTCGACCCAGATGCTCCGCCTGATGAGTGGCAGAGAGGAAGGAAGGGGAAAGGGAGGTGGGGGGAGAGGGGAAGGGGGTGTTGAGCAGGTTACATGCTTGTAGTTGTTTTGCGGAAGAAAAGAGCAGTCAAAGTGAGAGAAGGGACGCGTCAGCTGCGTGCCTAGCTGCGTGCCTGACACGGGATGGGAGCATCGGCTGGGATCCTGCTCCTCCCTGCGACCTCCATGCGCACCTCCAGCCTACGTACCTGCTGCCTGTCACCCCACCTGCTGTCTACCAGCGTGGGTGAGAACACCGCCGTACTTGAGCATCACGAGGGCCTCCAAACCCGATGTTTGCCGGCATGGGCGTGTGCAGGCACCCTAAACCCTAAACACACCTGCTGAAAACCAGTGTGACCGTGGGTGAGCATCCCACCTGCTGTGTGCCGCCCCACCTGTTGCCTGCCAGCGTGCGTGAGCACCATGAGGGCCTCCGTGGGCTCGTCCACCTCCACCTCGCCGCCACTGCCGTTGAGCACACCACCATAAGCACCTTACTCGGATTCACCTGCACACTGCAGTACAGTCTACTCCCCACCTGCTGTCTACCAGCGTGGGTGAGCACGCCACCATACTTGAGCACCACGAGGAGCAACCCGTTACCCACCTGTTGCCTGCCGGCGTGGGTGAGAACGCCCCCGTACTTGAGCACCATGAGGGCCTCCGTGGGCTCGTCCACCTCCACCTCGCCGCCACTGCTGTCCCTCTGCTGCACGCGCTCCCACTTCTGCGGCTTCAGCTGCGCCTTGCGGTATATCCCCGAGAAGTGCCCTCCCTGTGCGTGGGGGCAGCAAGTGGACGAGGGGGAGGAGGCGGAGGAAGGGAAGGTCAAGGTGCATGCATGGACGCGATGCAAGTTTACTTCATTGTCCTGCATTGCCAAAAGCGGTGGAGAGAGAGCTCAGGGCTTTAAGCTCACCTCCTCCAACACTGCCTTCACGTGCCTCAGCTTCTCCGCATTCTCAAAGTCCTCTGTCTCGCTGTCACTGCCATCCCTGCTGTCGCAGCAAGGTAAGGACAAGGAGAGGCAAGGAGAAGTGGCAGCATGTGTATTGCAGTGCAGTGTGAGGACGAGACATTAGCTGGAAGGGTGGAGAGAAGAGGACGTTGCAGGCAGCATGTAAAATACGAGACGTGTGAGGACGAGACGTTCCCTTTTCCTTGATGCTTCTCTAGGCCGATACTCAAGGCGTGAGAAGGAAGAAAAAAAATAGCTAAGTGCAGGGCCTACCTTCCTACCAAGGTTTGCAACACCCACCTTCCTAACAGCTAACCAGCTTAAGGTACCAGGTAGGAGCAAGCAGGACCCACCTCTGGTGCGGCACGAGGGCGCGCAGGGCGTCCAGCAGGTCCTGCAGCTGCACTGCACTCTTCAGCTTCGCCTGGCGGGCAGTGGGGCAGTGGGGCGAGGGGGGGGTGGAGAGTGCAGAGCATACAGAGGAGGGCACAGATCTCTCAGGAAAAAGCGCGCAGACTTTGGCGCAATCAGGCTAGCTGGCGGAGGCACGGGGGGCAGATGGCAGAAGTGGCAAGCAACAGGGCCTCTGCCAGGCACCGCACTCTTTAGCCCTGCATTGCATGGTGTGTGCATGCGCCCATGCCACCATCCACATGTCCTTGGGCTCACCTCCCCCACTAAGCCCACGAGTCACTCTCAAGCCTGCAGGCGCAGTGCTGAGCTGCCTGCAACGCAAGCCACCACCACTCTCTTAAACACCTCCTACAGGGCTCACCGGCCTTACTGCCCTCCTAACACCTCAACACCTCACACGCCTGCACGCCTGCCCCCACCGCAGTACCTCGGAGCGGGGCTTGCCGCCGTTGTATTTGAGCATGAGCTTCAGCAGCCGCTCCTGTGTCACCACCAGCTTCACCTTCTGCTTTGGCGTGCGGTCGCCACTGCCCATGGGGGAAGGGTAAAATGGGAGGGAGCGGGGGGGGGAGATTGTGTCAAGTCAATTACTTGTTCTTTGGCAAGTCCTCCCTCCCACCAAAACTCAACCATTCTGCTTTGGCGTGCGGTCGCCACTGCCATGGGGGAAGGGTAAAATGGGAGGGAGCGGGGGGGGGAGATTGTGTCAAGTCAATTACTTGTTCTTTGGCAAGTCCTCCCTCCCACCAAACCTCAACCATTCTGCTTTGGCGTGCGGTCGCCACTGCCATGGGGGAAGGGTAAAATGGGAGGGAGCGGGGGGGGGAGATTGTGTCAAGTCAATTACTTGTTCTTTGGCAAGTCCTCCCTCCCACCAAACCTCAACCATTCTGCTTTGGCGTGCGGTCGCCACTGCCATGGGGGAAGGGTAAAATGGGAGGGAGCGGGGGGAGGAGAATGTGTCAAGTCAATGATGTATTCTTTGGTAAGTCCCGTCCCTCCCATCAAACCCCAACCTTTCTGCAACCATTCACAAAGCATCACTACACCAGTCTCACCAACACGAACCAACCCAACAGCAGCAACCCCCACTTCACTCACTGGCGAATGACAGCGATCACGCAGCGCAGCTCCTCCCGCGTGCCGAACGTGTGCGCGCTGTTGAAGCTGCTCGCGCTCAGCGTGCGCTCGTAGTCCGGCGATGTCGTGCCGTCCAATGCCGCTCCTCCTGCTGCTGCTGCGTCGGGCCCGGACGACCAGGGCAGGCGCACGGGCAGAGGCGAGTAGAGGTGCGGTGCCACGGCGCGCAGCAGCATGCTTCGCAGCACACACGCTGCATCGTCGTAGTACCTGCATGCAGGCAGGGGGGGCGAGCGGAACGGACAGTAGTGTGGGCTGATTTGACAGAGAGGACGTTGACAGTGGCCGACCGATTGTATTGACAGGATGCAAGTACAAGGCCTGATTATAATGCCTCGATGGCTGCTTGTCCTTTTCCAAATAGAGCAGTGAGACTGTGGTTGTTGTTTGAACTCTCTAGATAAGATTCTGACACCGCCAGTGGCTCAAAGAGCTCAGTGCTCACTTGGTGGAGTTCTTGACAAAGTTCCAGCCGTTGACGTCGCACACGAAGGAGCGCCCGTGCGATCGCAGCAGGTCGAAGCCACACACCTGGCCGGCAAAAGGTGTATTGGACATGCGGGTGCGGGAACGGATGAGGCAACCCATAATGGGCGAAGAAAAGGTGTATGTAAAAGATGTTGACAAGGTGGGATGACAAACAGTATACACTGCAACGAATGACTCACCGCCTGGCCGAATGCAAGGCAGATGACCCGCGCCATTTCCTTCTCCGTTGGGGTGAGCAGCACCGGGTAGCGGATCTGGCAGAGATGCAGGGCGGAGGGGCGCGATATTGGTGATGACGAGTGAAGCGAGAGCGGTGGGAGGGACAGAGAGTTGCACATGCATGGCCCAGGGAAGACGTGATTATGTTTGAGAGTTGTGAATAAGCATTGTGCATAATACATGGTCAAACAGCAGGGAGAGAGACGGTGCTGGATAGGAAATGCACGGGACAGAAGTTTTGCTAACTTCTTAAGTGCCTCCAGTCCAGTCCAGTTCAGAGAAACATCTTAAGGAAACGCTAACTGCTGACTGCTGAATGCTCAAGTCTGACTGTTGAACGCTATAATTTGACTGCTGGATGCTAAATGCTGCTGATGGCTAAGTGACGATTGCTGAAAAAACATGCTGAATGCTGAGCACTATCTGCAGACTGCTGTCTCTCTGCCCGCCGTCCGAATCTATCCACAGTAACCATCTGAATGGAACTCCCTCGGAGGAAGTCTGGCCTCACCTCCTTGCCCTTCTGCACAAGTGAATAGGAGCGTGAGATGAGCTGGCTCACAGTAACCTAACCACACAGGCCATCCATGGAAAGAGCAACACACACAGCACCAACGACCCCCCCCCTAGGGCGCACCTCCTTGCCGTCGGCGCTGCGCATGACAACACCATCCACCACAGGTGACTTGCGCGCCTCTGCATGTGCATAGTCCGGCCCCACCGTGTACACCTTCACATCCGTGCCGCCTGCCAGACACATCATGATGATGCCAGCCAAACATCATGGTGGCATGCACATGCACATGCACATGCACATGCACATCATAATGGTACACAATAACAGTATTGAGCAAGGAATGCAGAAACCATGATCATGATGTCTTCAGCAATGCAAGATGCACAAAGGAATGAGGATGAGGAACAGGGGGGACAGGGGGGAGCTGTTCGCAAGCATGCATCGCAGTTGATTGCAATGCTAATGTGCTTATTACATACTACATAGTTCTGGCTTGGGGCTTGACTACGCATTCATATGTAACCATGCACGACGCCATAAATGACGGCAGAAATTAACAAAGCTGTGGGCGGCAAAGAGCGCACCTGTGGGCGGCAAAGAGCGCACCTGTGGGGAGGAACTCCTCGTAGATGTAGGAGCCATGGCGCCTCACATGGCGCACGTCCGAGTGGAACTCACTCGAGCGATTGCCCACCTTCCAGGAGAGGCGAGGGATGGGAGAAAGGAGAGGTGGTGTTATTGAGAGGTGAGGTGAGGACAAAGGAATGGAAAGACAGGGATTAGAAAAAAAGAGAGTCGCTTTCTTTAGCAAGGCGAGAGGAATGGAAGGAGGAGAGCGGTGAGGTGAATTGAGTGCAATGTGGCACTGGTAGAGGCGCTGTTTTGTATTTTTTCTACAAGAACAAGAATCAGAACAACAACAACACATGCAGCTTGCCGCCAGTTGAATGCACCTCACCAGACAGTACCTTCCTGAGGAGTCTAGTTTTTAGGCGCCTAAAAAATGCACCCCACGAGGCAAGGGAGTACCTTTCTAAAGAGCTCCTTCATGCCGCCCCCTGCGGAGCTGGGGTAGTAGATCATCACACTGTGGTCGTCGCCTGTCCGTGCACGCAAGCACGCACGCACGCAAGCACGCACGGCATGCGACAAGGCGAGGGGGTGGGAGGGAATTGGGGATGGAAGAGTAGGGAAAGAGGGGATGTGGGGGAGAGGAGATGGGGATGGGCGGCATTGCGGCAGGACAGACGAGCTGGACACCTCATGCAGACGAGCTGGACACCTCATGCAGACGAGCTGGACACCTCATGCATACGAGCTGGACACCTCATGCATACGAGCTGGACACCTCATGCATACGAGCTGGACACCTCATGCATACGAGCTGGACACCTCATGCATACGAGCTGGACACCTCATGCATACGAGCTGGACACCTCATGCAAACGAGCTGGACACCTCATGCATACGAGCTGGACACCTCATGCATACGAGCTGGACACCTCATGCATACGAGATGAGAACGATTATTAAAGCAGCTGTTCTACGGAGGGGAAAACGATTCCTGGGGAAACGATTCCTGGGGAAAAGCAGCAACCGACAAATCCACAACACATGTACCCACCGCCACCCATGAATCCACTGCCCATGAACCCACCACTGGCCATTAACCCACTGCCGCCCATGAACCCATCACCCATGCACCCACCCCACCCCGCCACTGCCCATTAACCCACTGCCACCAGTGCACTCACCACCCATGCACTCACCACACCACCACCACCACCCATGCACCCACCACCCATGCACTCACCACACCACCACCACCACCCATGCACCCACCACCACCACCACCCATGCACCCACCACCCATGCACCCACCACCACCACCAGCACCACCCATGCACCCACCGCACCGCCCATGCACGGACCGTCAACGGGCTTCTCAACAAAGGGCTTGTTGATGCGCTTGCCGGCGATGACCACGTAATCCTCCTCCTCCTCAAACTCCCCCGCTGCCCTTGAACCCACCACCACCCACCCATACACCCACCACCCACCCATGCACCCACCACCCACCCATGCACCCACCACCCACCCATGCACCCACCACCGCCCATGCACCCACCCACCACCGCCCATGCACCCACCGCCAGTGAGTGAACCCACCGTCCACAGGCTTCTCCACGAAGGGCTTGTTAATGCGCTTGCCCGCGATGACCACGTAATCCTCCTCCTCCTCAAACTCCCCCGCTGCCCTTGAACCCACCACCACCCACCCATACACCCACCACCCACCCATGCACCCACCACCCACCCATGCACCCACCACCGCCCATGCACCCACCCACCACCGCCCATGCACCCACCGCCAGTGAGTGAACCCACCGTCCACAGGCTTCTCCACGAAGGGCTTGTTAATGCGCTTGCCCGCGATGACCACGTAGTCCTCCTCCTCCTCAAACTCCTCCTCCGCTGCCTCCCCCTCCCCCTCGCGGTTGACTATGGCGTACGTGGGCATCATGAGCCCGTGCTCCTCCAGCTTCTGGTAAAGGGGGGAGAAAGGGACAGAGGGGGGGGTGCCGGAAGAGGGCATGTGGGCAGAGAGAGGGCGAAATGTGGGCAGAGAGAGGGTGAACTGTGGGCAGAGAGAGGGCGAACTGTGGGCAGAGAGAGGGCGAACTGTGGGCAGAGAGAGGGCGAACTGTGGGCAGGGGGGGCAGTCCTAACCCCTCCCCCCCTCCCCCTCGCGGTTGACTATGGCGTACGTGGGCATCATGAGCCCGTGCTCCTCCAGCTTCTGGTAAAGGGGGAGGGAGGGGGAGTAAAGAGGAGGGGAGGGCAGGGAAGGGGCGTGTGGGCAGCGGAAGCAGTCCTGACCCCCCTCTGCACCTCCCTTGCGGTTCACTATGGCGTGCGACGAGGTCATTAAAAAACGGTTGATGAGTCGACAATCAATAATGACTCGAGTACAAAAGGTCAATGATTTTACTAGATTACGGCAAATGAGTAGACTGACAAACGATTAATGAGTCGCCTCAGAACCGCTGAGAACAAAAAAAGCTATGTCCACCACACTCACCGCACTCCACTCACCGCACTCCACCACACTCCACTCACCGCACTCCACCGCGCTCCACTCACCGCACTCCACTCACTCCACTCACCGCACTCCACCGCGCTCCACTCACCGCACTCCACTCACCGCATAAACCTTCCTCCTGTCGTGCAGCAGCCACTGCGGCTCCAACTCGTTCACCAGATAGGGCCTGCCGTGCCGTGCAGGAGAGGCGCACGGGGGAGAGAGAGGTGCGGGGAAGGGTAGAAATGGGAACGACAAGGGATGGGAACGATGGGAGGGATGGGAACGATGGGAGGGATAGGCAACACACACATGTACTTTTTGCTCATCGCATGTACTAGCACTTGGCAGGGCAGTTAGCACGTACTTGCGCAGGGCGGCGTATTGCTGCGCCTTGGCGAGAGGGAAGCCCGTGGAGTAAAAGGCTATTAGCGCATCACATATGGGCCACCTGGGGGGATGGGGGGATGCACGGGGGCAGGCACGCAGGAACACGTGTGCGGAGGCATGTGTCGGGGATGGTGCGACATGGGGTGTGTGTGGAATGGTGTGGGGGGGGAGAGAATTGGTATGGTGAAGGGTGTGTGGGGCATGGGGGGGGGAGCTGCATGGGGGAGGCGCGTGGGGACGAATTGGGATGGCAAGGAGACACACTTATGAAAGTGGGATGTGACAATGCAGTGAGGCGAGGAGGCATGCAGTGGGGCGAGGAGGCATGCAGTGGGGCGAGGAGGCATGCAGTGGGGCGAGGAGGCATGCAGTGAGGTGAGGAGGCATGCAGTGAGGCGAGGAGGCATGCAGCGGGGGGGTGAGGAGGCATGGAGTGGAGCAAGGGACATGGCTCACTTCTCGATGGGGTCGTGGAGGATCAAGCGGTCTTCAAATATAATCACCTGGTGCCAGGCACGGGGGAGGATGAGGGCCGATGGAACAGTAACGTAAAGCAGTAAGTGGCGTGAGAGTGAGGCGAACGACTCGATGGAATCCGAATGCGTGCAGGGAGACGTGCAATAAGGAGAGGAACGGAATGCAAGCAGGCCATCTGGGTTAGGAAACAGTTCTGTGCATCCACTCTTCTCCATATCTTCACATTGCACTTCTCCCTCCCCCTCATCTCACCTCCTCGAATCTCCCATACCTCACCTTCCCAACGCCCCACATCCCCCACTCCTCACCTCCCCACAACTCCCTCCCTCACAATCCCTTCCCCCAGGCCTCACCTCCACCCGCCGCGCCTCCCCCAGGTTTCACCTCCACCTCTCCTCACCTCCCCAAGATCTCAACTCCACCTCGCCTCCCCCAGATCTCACCTCCACCTCGCCGAACATGCGCAGGCGGTCAAGAATGGCCGTCATGGGGGACGAGCGCGACTGCAGGGGGAATGGCGGAGGGGGGTTGGCGGAAAGAAGGGGGGAAATAGTGGGGGCAGGAAGCGGCAGGTCGACTAACGGGCCCAGGCGATCAAGAATGGCCGCCATGGGGGACGACCGACTGCAGAAGGGGTGGCAGAAGAGGAGTGGCGGAATGGGGTGGCGGAAGGGGGTGGCGGAAGGAAGGGGGGAATTGGGGCAAGAGGTGGCCCATAGGGGACGATCGCGACTGCAAACGGGTGGCGGAAGGGGGATGGCGGAAGGGGGGTGGCGGAAGGGGGATGGTGGAAAGGGGATGGCGGAAGAGGTTGGCGGGAAAGGTATGATGGAAGGGGGATAACTGAGCGAGGGGCGGAGCAAAGGGGGCAGGAGCCGGCAGGCAGGTCGACGAGCGTCCCAAGGCATGGAACGTGTATTAAAAAAACGTCACGAACTTCTGCCTCTCACCGTCACGCACTTCTGCCTCCCATCGCCCCTCTCTCCCCCGTCTGCCCACCTTTTTCTCCATTACGCACACGCCCAGCGTCAGCTTTTTCTTCTCCACCGGGTCGCTCGCGAGGCTCTCGAACGCGCCGCCGCCCGAGTGCCCCACGCGGATGGACGGCAGCACGACATCCTCCATCGCCGCCGCTGCGCGCACGACAAACCGAGACTGTCGCAACCCCTATTTACCGCTACAACTGCTGCGATCCGTATTGATCGCTAAAACTGTCGTGACCTTTATTGAACGCTTGACGAGTACGATCGTCACGGGCCGTGCGAACCCTGTCAAGCGTTACCACCGTCGCGACCGTTTATGACCGTTATTGATCGTTATAGCCGTCCGACCCTCGTGCGTCAACCCAAGGGGCCGTCGATGGCTCAATAAACTCGGATCCGGATCTTCGGATCTCACACGCGAGGCAGGCAGTACCTCAAAGTCTGTAATAATGTTGTCAGGCGCACGCATCTGTGGATCCTTGGGAATGCCGCAATTAGAACTAAATAAGGTGGTTGGCTGCCGCGAGGCCGATTCGAAATGGAAGTGAGTGGATGGTGACGGCAGCGAAGAGACGAGTCGAGATTCCTGAGGGCGTGTTCGTTTTTCAACCTGAAATTCAAACTTTTAGTGTAACACGCTTTCGCTAATATCGCCAAAGCTCTCGCAACACCCCCTTTACGATGGTGTCCACTTTCCATCTCACAGCGAGTGCGAATTTTAGAATTTCGTCATTTCAGAAAAAGTTCGATTCTGGTACTTTACCACAAAAGTTCGAATTTTCAGGCATGCGACAACGCCGCGATTATAAAAGATTCTGCGACTATTGCGACATGCTGTCGCCATTGGCGGGAGTGTCAGATGTGAAGCCACGTCGATGCACGCGATCAATTTGCATTTGTATTGCGTGCGACCGCGGCCAGTTTTTCGTACGCGCTTCGAGAAATAACAAACTTTGAAGCGTGCACTTTTGACCACTATCACATTTTCGACTCTAATGCGTCATATTAGCCATTTATGAAAAAAATGTGTACCCAGTGTTCGACTTTCGCCTTTGTTGGATATTCGAAATCACAAATTCGATTATTGCACCTGCTGGAAAAACGAATACGCCCTAAGTTATAGATTCCTTGCATATTCCTTGCTGTTGGACAATTCCGAGGGGGGCGTGTTCATGCGAACATAATTCATTGGCGGAACACACATCAGGTCGGACCCCGAACACTGTGTTTGTCAGGTTCAGACAGTCTGGCCCCTTCGTGAACAGATCAATGTTGATTGAAAAGAGTTGTGGCACATTCCCCAACCAAGCTCGAGCTAGACGAAATCATTGGCGATGCTGCCAGGTGTAACAGACAGCCAGGGCCGTTTCTGGGGTTGCGCAAAAGAAAACCGAAAACCTCACGCCATCAGGTGTACACGGCCTTTAAGCGTCCCAAAATGCATCAGGTGTATACGGGCGTTTTCTGTATACCTCTAAGAAAGTTTTCAGCATTCGTTATCGCGTTCTTCAACATCTCTTATAGCAGCAGCTGATGTTCGCCTGTTACTACTAACGGGGCTTTGCCAACTTCGCGCGCACTGTTTTACCAAACCTTGCACCGCTTTGCACGTTTCGCGTATAAGTATTCACTCATGCCTTCGCTCATACTTTGTACTCATTTGACACGTAGTGCAATCCTCGCTATCTCGTTCTATTGCACCCGCGTAACACTTGGTATTCATAGCCACTTTCTTTCGGACCGCGCATCTCCGCACCTAGAGAAATCAACTTTTGATTTTTGCACTCGAAGGGACTCACGCCCCTTAGCACCTAGGAGCCGCTGTCCTCGCGTTCTCTCGTAAACGCAAGGCACGTACGAACAACCCGCACGTCAGGCATCACAACACGGAAGTGTGGGGCAACCCTCGAGCGCGGCTAGTGATGGCGTCGCCCGCAACGACGGAGACGACGACCACGGCACGACACACCCCGATACGATTTCGGTGCCGACCGGCGAGTCAGCACTTCCGTCGCCGATGCCGCTGAAGCGGCAGCGTCCGCCTTGCTTTGACCCAAATCAACGGGTGGTCCTACCGTTCAGGCCTGGTTGTTCATGATGAACGTCTTCTTTGACGCGAACTACGTCTCGGAGGATTCGGCGAAGATTCGATACGCCGTGTCGCTGCTGCGAGGACCCACCATGGATTGGTGGCGCGTCATCGTCACGAAGCCGGTGGACTACGCGACTCTACAGACACGGGAAGGACAAACCGGACCCTGGGCGCCATCATATTTCGTGAAGGTGCCCCAGTATCGCACGTGGGACGCGTGGTGCGCAGGTCTGCGCGCACGGTTCGAGCCAATTGCGGCTTCGATCGCGGCGCGTCAGAGGCTCCGCACTTGGCGTCAGCTCAGTTCCGTCCAGGACTACACCAGCAAGTTCCTGGCGCTGTGTGAGCATGTGGGCTATATGCACGAGGGCGAACGCATCGACCACTACATCGTCGGCCTGAAACACGAAATCGCCCAAGAAATCCAGCTCCGCAACGTCACTGAATTTCAGGACATTCTCGCCATGGCGGAGAAGCTTGACTTCTTACGCCGACCGAGACCGGGGTCCTACGACAACAACAGTAACTGGGGACATCGGTACCGTGGGACGAACGAGCACGTCACGATACGCACCGTCGCCGCGAATGCCGCTGCCGCACCGTTCAAAGGGCGCCGCTTCGCGCGCAATTTGCCGGGGCACCGTAAGAGCGAATGCCTGGAAAACGCTAAGGGAAGGGGGGAAGCTGAGTAGCAGAAACAGACCAAGCAGCAGGAAAACGTTGGGAGTCAGTAGCAGTTGGGCCCTCTACTTACAAGTCACGCCGCTCGCCCGACCCAACCGACCCTCACCGAGTGATTGTGCCGGTTCACACAATCGACCACACCTGGCCGAATAAGGAGGGTACATTAGTAGACAGCCCCATACTGCTTAGCGGGAAAATACAGACAGACTAAGTTAAGATCTTCATAGACGGGGGGGGCTAGCCACAGCACGGAGACTGAAACTGCCACTGGACAGGTGTTTACCTGAGATTGACGCACGACTGGTCGACAGCACGCCACTGGCGATACGGGAACGCGCGGACCGAGTTCGGATTCGATGCGGGGGTAGCTTCACATTTACCCAGAAAATGCTCACAACGACCCTCGATGGAACCGACATTTTACTCGGGCGTGATTGGCTGCGACGACACAATCCACGAATCGACTGGACGACGGGTGATTGCCCCATGCGAGTGAACGGTAATAACATCGCCTTACCTCGCTGGAGCTCGCCTGAGCCTTCGTCGGTGCGTGTCAACGCGATCACGATGAAACGCGTCGTAGCGGTAGGAGCTGACGTGTATGTGGTTGACATTCGGGAAGCCGAGGCAGCAGACAAACCGAGCGATTTACAGAAACTGCTCGCCGACGTACCGGATGACTTGGCAGCGCTACTGAAGCAGTACAGCGGGATTTTTCCGAACGACTTACCGAAGGGACTGCCACCTTAGCGACCGCACGACCATAAGATAGAACTAGAACTGGGAGCACAGCCAACAGTACAGCGACAGTTCCGACTGACCCAACCCGAACTGGACGAACTACAGAAGCAGCTGGATTACCTGCTCGAGAAAAAGTTCATTCGCCCGAGTTCGTCACCCTTCGCCGCACCGATACTGTTCACAACGAAAAGACGGGGGATTACGCATGTGCATAGATTACCGTGCACTGAACCGAGTTACCATCAAGTCCCGTTACCCCATCCCGCGAGCCGACGAACTAATCGACCAACTTCGCACATCCCGGATTTTTTTTTTTTTTGAAAATTGACCTTCGTGGGGGTTACGACCAGATCCACGTCAATCCGCCCGACTGCCCGAAAACCGCCTTCCGAACCCGCTACTGATCATTTGAATACACGGTAATGCCCTTCGGACTGACCAACGCCCCCAGCAACCTTCCAAATGACCACGAACGAAGCCTTCCACCCGCTTTTAGATAAGTGCGTGATCATCTACCTAGACGACATACTGATCTACAGCCCATACAGATCACAGCACCTACAGGACATCGAAGAAGTTATTAAAATACTGAATAAGAACCACCTACTGACCAAAGCATCTAAGTGTGATTTTCTACATGACATACTGGATTTTTTTTGGCACGTTATTTCAGCCAACGGAGTAGAAATAGACCCGAAAAAGATCGCGACAATTCAAGCATGGCACGCGCCGACCAACTTGACCAAGTTGCAGAGTTTTCTGAGGTTCGTCAACTACGTGCGACGGTTCGTCCCCGACATGGCGTAGTTGACTGCCCTGTTGACCGACCTGCTGAGGAAGGGGGTTGAGAACACATGGGGGGGGGGAAGAGCAAGTTGCCTTCTCGGCCCTCAAAAATATTTTGTGCTCACCGCCTGTGCTTCACATCGCAGGTCCTCACCGTCTGTTCGAGCTCGTCACCGACGCAAGCGACATCGCTGTGGGAGCATTAGTGTCGCAGGACTTCGGGAACGGCCTCTAGCCAAACGCGTACAAGCCCCGCAAACTCCACCAGCCCGAAACCCAACTACCCGATACACGACCGCGAGATGCTGACGATCGTGCATGCGTTCAAGGTGTGGCGGTGCTACCTTTTAGGAGCCGTCGTGACAGTACGGACTGACCATCGTGCACTACGGTACCTTCGCGCCCAACAGAATCTCAACCCACGACGGATCCGCTGGTTGGACAATCTGAAGTCCAATTACCACTACACTGTCACTTACAGAAAAGGAGCATCCAACATCGTTGACGCACTCACCCGCCCCACTGCCCAACTTCACGCCATCCTACTCGCCCAAACCAACCCGCTGTTAACAGGCCTATTCACTCACGGATACCGCACCGACCCATTTTTCACGACCGGAAACTCGCAGCAACTGGCAAAAGCAAAGGGATTTTATTTCGTAAAAACAGGCACCAGCCGCATTTTGGTACCCGCGTATTCACTACTGAGGGAACTGCTACTGCAAGAGGCACACGACGGGGTTACCTCGGGTCACTTCGGGGTAGAAGAAACGCGACAGCAACTGCAGCGGTACTACTACTGGCCGGAGCTGTTGACCGACGTACAGCACCACGTGGGG